ATCATTTCAAGCCGCGTGGATACCACTTCAAAGATTGTGGACGCTATTAACTCGCTCCCCAAGGACAAACGCCCTTCGGTGCTTGTCAGCACATCGGCTGTCGGCTTCTATGGTGTGTCCTATGGCAGCATGGGAGGGTTGGTTTTGAGGCGTCTCAAAAACAAGCCTTTTAGAATGAAAGGGGGTGGGGTGGGGAAGGGGGCAAAGCGGAAAGCATTGCATTGCAGGAGGAAGGGGCAAAGCGGAAAAGGGATTTGGGAGGTTGATGAGGGAAGAGGAAGGATGTTACCTTGCATTCGTTCTTATCTCCACCGTTAAACTATAGAGAGACACTCGTGTGTCGTGTCATCGCTCCATGGGTGCATGCCTCCATGTGTCCATGTGCCCATGTGCCCAATGTGCCCATGTCCCATTGTGTCCATGTGTGCATGTGTGCATGTGTGCATGTGTTCAGGGACGAGTGAGACTGCCACCTTTGACGAAACCAGCCCTTCTGGCAACGATTTCTTGGCAGAGGTACATTTATTGGCAGAGGTACATTTCTTCACTCAAATGTTATTTCACTCTTCTCGACAATTTTGCGTATGTTTGTCTCCTCTCCTCTCTCTCCCTTTCCGACCCCTCCACGATCCTCTCAATACGCCAACTCATCCATCACCCCCTGGTTCCAAGCCCCTCCTTCATGCTTCTTAATTTCCACTCCCCTCGCTTCTTTGTGGGTGAGAAGTGGATTTTTCTGACGCTTCAAATCTCGTTTCCATGCGCCCCCTGCATTCTTCTTCACATTCCCACCTCTAAACTCCATGTGTGCACTAAGTGGGAGGCAGAGGCTCAGAATTTTTTTTTTGAGTCGACTCAAAAATCACCTCTGAAAACCAGGTGTGCAGGAAGTGGGAGGCAGAGGCGTAGGAACCATCCCATATTCCGCCTCCCCCCTCCCCTTCTTTCCCCCTTCCTCTTCCCCACCCCCCTCCCCCAGGTGTGCAGGAAGTGGGAGGCAGAGGTGCCAAAACCATCCTCATATTCCCCCTCCTCCCTCTTTCCCCCTTCCCCCCTCCTCCCAGGTGTGCAGGAAGTGGGAGGCAGAGGCGCAGAAAGTCTCCCCTGACTCGACCCGCCTCGCTATAATCCGCTTCGGAGTGGTGCTGGACAAGGGCGGCGGTGCTCTGGGCAAGATGCTGCCCGTCTTCCAGCTCTTCGCAGGGGGCCCTCTTGGCACTGGGCAGCAATGGTGAGTAAGCTGAATCTTTAAGCCCCAATCTCTAAACCCTAGACCCAGGATTTGCTTCGGCGTGGTGCTGGACAAGGGCGGCAGTGCTCTCGGCAAGATGCTGCCCATCTTCCAGCTCTTTGCTGGGGGCCCTTTTGGCACCGGCCAGCAGCCTAATCCCTTTCTCCTCGACTTTGAGTCACTCGACCATACTCTCTAGACAAGGGCGGGGATGTTCTGGGTAAGATGCCGCCCATATTCCAGCTCTTCGCAGCCAGGCCCCTTGGGATCGGCCAGCAGTGGTGAGACAACAAAACGTCGGTACGGCATCTCTAAACCCGAGACCTCTCTATGGCTGCTTCGCTGTGGTGCTGGACAAGGGCGGCGGGGCCTTGGGAAAAATGCGTCCCAAATTCCGGCAATTTGCAGGAGGGCCCCTCGGCACCCGGCACCACTGGTGAGAGCTGCCCTGGGACTTGACGACGACATTGACGTGAGGGCTGCCTGGACACACGAGATCCGTGTGTAATGAGTATTTTTTTTAGTCGACTAAAGAATAAACTCAAACGCCAGAAAGCGATGAAGAGCTGGTTTAATAGTGCTCCCTAATAGGGCCTACACCAGTGCCTCTATGTGTCATGAGTCTATTTTTTAGTCGACTCAAAACCAGGACTTGAGGACGAGATCGAGGCAGTGGGGGTGCCCTGGGCTACTTAGATGCTGCCCATCCAAGTAGCGACTTAGTCGGGCTGCCTGAGGGTGCCTGTCTCCCAGCTCTTTGCAGGCGGGTCCCTCGGCACCCACCAGCAATGGTGAGCAGGTGGGCTTTAAGGAACCCCAAAGCCTACACTCGTGTATCCTTGACTGTTGGCTCTCCTGCGCTGCTTCGCTGCTGTGCTGGACTAAGGGTGGTGTTGCCACTAGCATCCCTCCATCCCTGTCCCCTTCACAACCACCAGGTTGATCTAGTGGGTTTGAAAACAGATGCGCTCACTAGATCCGCGGTGCCGTTGAGGACTCCGCTCAACAAGGAGTTCAGTGGGGTGCTCAACGGCAAGGCCGCACGGGTCAGTTCTGTGGAAACGGCACTGCTCGCACGGCTCAGTTTTGGGCTACGCCAATCCTGGCTGTCTGTTGGGATTGCCACTGGTTCTGAGCTCTCGACTGCTGCTGGCGAATTGGCTCGTCAACTGCCTGCCCCATCCCTCCTTTCCCCCCAACCGCCAGGTCTTCATGGGTGCACAGGGACGATCTAGTGGCTCTAATAATCGAAATCTTTGCAACAAGGATTTCACAGGAGTTCTCAATGGCACGGCCCCCAGCCCTGCTCACATGGCTCAGTTCTGCGAGGCGCTAGGCTCCACCATCGGCTGTGCTTCCTGCCCTCAACCCTCGCCGCCTGGTTCCGACCCCGAGATCTCCATTGTTTCTAACCGACTGACTAATCTCCCTACTCCCATCCCTCCATCCCCACCACCCACCTCCAGGATGTCATGGGTTCACCGCGACGATCTAGTGGCTCTCATCATTGAATCTCTGCGCAAACAAGGAGTTCAGTGGGGTGCTCAACGGCACGGCCCCCAGCCCCGCCCGCATGGCTCAGTTCTGCGAGGCGCTAGGCTCCGCCATCGGCCGCCCCTCCTGGCTGCCCGTGCCCAACTTCGCCGTGCAGACGCTTCTAGGGGAGGGAGCCATGGTGGTAAGCCCCTTCTGTCTTGCACCAGCATATTGTCATACAGGAGCCCTAGTGCCATCGGCCGCCCCTCCTGGCTGCCCGTGCCCAACTTTCGCTGTGCAGACGCTTCTAGGGGAGGGAACCATGGTGGTTAGTGCTTCTTCTTTAGACCCCTCAAAACCCGTGCTAGGAGATGGAGCCATGGTGGTGGAGTGCTGCTTGTGTTCGCTCCCTCCCCATGGGCCTTTATGCCTCCCTCCCCATAACCCTGCCTTTTCCGACACATCGCCTCACAGTCCTCCTGTTCCCAACATTCAACGGCACCTCCCCCAGGCGCACAGCTTTGGTTCTGTTCTGACAAACTCTCAACGACAATGGCTCCCTTTTCGAATCGTATCCCTTGTCAAAGAAAGCCGTCGCCATATCCCTGTGAAATGCATGTGTTTCCTGCCAATCCTTTCTCGTCCATTTGACACCACTTGACTCCAGGTGCTGGACGGGGCAAACGGGTGCTTCCCAAGCGTACAGAGAGCCTGGGCTTCCGCTTCAAGTACCGGAACATTCAGAATGCGCTCTCCGCCATCTTCTCCTCTTGATGCTGAGTCGTTACAGTGTTCTTCAGTGCCTCCCTTCTAAGTGGACAGCGAGCTTCGGCTTTCGGTTTACTTACTACAGACATCCAGAATGCACTATGTGCTACCATAATTTTCTTGAGTGTCTGTCTTTACCCTCAAATCTGTGCCAGCTTGTTCGTTCTGAAGAGTATTGTCTTCTTGCGTCAGCCTTGGCTCTCCTCCAGCCAGTGCATGGTGTAGCAGTAGAAAGTGAGCGGGTTTGTGGTTTAGGGAATCTTGTCTTGTCAAATGAATAACTCACTACTAGAAACAAATTACTGGTGTGGTGTTCAATAGATTAGACAATTTCTCACAGTAGCATACCCAAGAAAATCCAACAGTGTGGACAATTGCACCTTATCGACAAGCACAGTGATTGCCTCAGATAATACGGGCATAGTGTACTGGAAACTGGCGTATACTGTTTCTCTTCTTTATCCATCCCTCACACACCATCCTGATAACCCGATATAAGGGATCCAGCAGGCAAGCAAACTCCACATGTCTCTAGCAGCAAACATAACATATATCTTCCACAAATGCACTGATGCATACTCGGGACCAAGGCAGGCATGCTTCCGCCATGGATGTTCCAATGCGCTTAGTATGCCCTTCAGTACCTCCTTGCTTCCATTCCTTCTCCCCCCACTCCTCCTCCCCTCCTGCTCCTCTCCGCCTCCTCTCCCCCTCCCCTCCCCCTCCCCTTCCCGCCTCCCCCTTACACCAGCTCAATGAAGCACATGGGGCGCGTTGTCCCCCCGCCGCGGCAATGGTCCTGATGATCCGCGTATACCCGCCCTCCCTCTCCGCATACCTCTCAGGCGCATCCGAGAAAATCGCGTGCACCAGCGTCTTATCGTACACAAAACGCCAGCGCTTGCCTCCTTTCGTGGAGGCTTCTCCCCTTGGCCAGCGTGATCATGTGGTCCACAAACTTACGCATCGCCTTCGCGCGCGCCGCGGTGGTCTTTATCCTGCCGTGGCGTAGGAGTTCGGTCGTGAGCCCTCTAAGGAGCGCCTTGCGCTGGTCCGCGGGCCGCCCGAGCCGCGCGATGCGGCGGCCGTGGCGCATCGCGAAGACGCGGGAGCCGTTGGATGGGAGGATGGAGGGGAGGGGGGAGAGATCTGCGATGGGGAATGAGGGCATGGGGAGGGGAGAATGAGATTACGAAACGCCCCCAAAAGACGCAGGAGCCGCTAGATGGGAGGATGGAGGGGAGGGGGGAGAGATCTGCGATGGGGAATGAGGGGGATGGGGAGGAGAGAAAGAGATTCCAAAACGCATCAAAAGACGCGGGAGCCGTTGGATGGGAGGATGGAGGGGAGGGGGGGAGAGATCTAGGGCAATCGGAGAGAGCAGTCAAGGGTTTGGGGGAGGGGGGGGGGGGGGGGGAGGAGAGATGGAGAGGGGGGAGAGAGGGAACATGTTAGAAATGTCTCTAGAGATCCGGAGGAGGTTGGAAGGAAGGATTGACGGGAGAGGGAAGAGACCTGCGGTGAGGAGAACCGACGCAGTCAAGGGTTCGTTGGGGGGATGCGAGTGGAGGGAGAAGCGGGAACGAGGGGAGGCGGGAGGAGGGGGACCCCTAAACGGATTCGGAAGCCGAGCGGAGGGAAGGAAGCCGAGCGGAGGGAACGAAGTGGGATGTGAGACGGGACGAAATGCACGGAGCAAGGTTGGAGGAAGAGCAGCGCGGGGGAAGATATTCGGGAGAACAGAGGGGAAGGGAATGGGTGGGGAGAGCAAAGGGAGGAAGATGGGAGGGATAACAAAGGGGAGAAGATGGGCGGGAGAGTAAAGGGAGGAAGATGGGAGGGATAACAAAGGGAAGAAGATGGGCGGGAGAGCAAAGGGGAGGGAGAGCCGAAGGAATGAGAGCAAGGGAAACGGGAATGTGGGGTTTGGAGGACAAGGCTGCGGAAACACCTCTCTCTTCTCCCTTTTCATCCCTGCAGGAATAATGAACTGGCAAACTCCCTATTCCCCGGTGTTTGCCGTGCTCCTACTAGGCTCCGTATGTCCATATTCGACCTTGACGCACCTTGACGAAAGAGAATTCGTGTGGCTCTACCAACCGTGGAAAAAGTAATACGCCTTCAACCCTACCTGAGCCCCCACCCCGGAAGGTCGATAGGCAATATTTATTCGTGCCTCCGTTCCGAAAGGCAGGACCGACACAAAGACTGCTGCCGTTAATATTCGTGTCCCTCTCCCGGAGACGGCCCGACGAGGCGACTTTCAGAGTCGACTCAAAACTCATCCCCTACCCGGTTAGGCGATCCTCGCCGGGCTGTCCACTCTAAAGATAGCCCGGCGAGGCTATCGCGACGGTCCTTTAGCCCGATTGAGACTCCGCTGTCGCTACATTGCTACCCTCGAGGTACCTGGTTGAATAGCGCAGTCCGCGTGTAACCCTATGCGTGCTTTCGCTGGTTCAGGCGCGTCGGAAACGATTAACCTCGGATCTTAAACCCACGGACTGGCCGGCGACGCCATCACGGCGGTCCCGACGAGTTGACCCTTGAGTCCACTCAAAAGTCCCCCACGTTACAATGTCAGACTTCCCTCGTTACAATTTCAAATGCTTCTGAGAACATTTTTTACCCCACGGACTGGCCGGCGACGCTATCACGGCGGTCCCGACAAGTTATCCCGCGGTCAAGGCCTAGTCTGCTTGAACCCTAGCCGAAGATGTGTTAGTACTTTCGTTTAAAACCCTGCTTAAACGAACACTCCGACGAGATTTTCAAGTCGTAGTCTGTTAGAACCTAGCCGAAGATTCCGGAAATAGCAGTCTCTTTGTGTCCTCACCAGTAGACTGGGTTTTCTAGGCGCATCAAAACTTGTCTCTACCCGCAGACTGGCCGACGAAGCTATCTCGGCGATCCCTGTTCGTTAGCAGTATCTGTGCGTCAGAAACCGACGTCCAAGTGTGTCCGACAATAAGTCCATGTAACCGACGTCCAAGTGTGTCCGACAGTAAGTCCATGTAACCGACGTCTAAGTGTGTCCGATGGTAAGTCCACGTATCCGTACCAGCAGACTGGCCGACGAAGCTATCGCGACGGAGGCCGCTGTACGACGAGGAGAGCCGCGACGACGCCGCTGCGGGGGAAGCGGCGGACATTGCGGCGGAAACAACGGGCTTGCGCGCGGGGGAGGCCGCCGCGGACTGCGAGAGGGAAACCCGCGGGAGCGCGCACTGGAGCGACGCCATGGAGAAGGCCGCCATGTTCCTGACTGATCTCGTGACTGATTCCGTCAGGAAACCAAACCAGCACAGGTAGTCCGTCAACCAGGGAATCCCTGAAATGGAGCTTGCAGGCTGCAATAGGTCACTAGGTACTGTACTCTCTTGTGAGGGAGAGGGGTAGAGGAGAGGGAAACAAATCTCAAGGGAGACCAAAGCGCAGAGAGGGGGAGAGCGGCTCTCCGCCTAGCGCAGAGCGCAAGAAGGAAACAGGCGGAACCTGCGCTGAACCCCGTGTAGTGCGCAGGAAGCCGCAGGCGGGCGCAGTCCCAGGTTGCGCAGGGGCTTGTGCTGTGCTCGGGGGGCGATGGAGAAAGGGGGGGATGCGGGGAAAGGTGCCACGGTGTACGGGTGAGGAGGGAGACTAGGTCCACGTTGCGCCACTACCTCGCATCCAGTGGCACGGACTAATCCGCCACGCTGATGGATGTCATTGGAGGAGAGCATTTCAACGCGGATAACTACACGACACATTGTATTCCCACTACATTACACGCTGACGAACTTGTTGCTAAATGTGTGAAGTGTGGAATAAGAAATATCAACGAGTTACCACGCTTCGCGAAATTGCGGGGGTTGAGAGGGATGTGACTGGTTGCAGAGGATATCGCCAAATTTATCTAGGTTGGGAGGGTATGGGAGGGGTATGGGAGGGGTGTGATAGGTAGTGGAGGACTTCGCCAAAATATTCCAGGTTGCGGGGGCATGGGATGGGTGTGCGTGACTGAGTGGTTGCGGAGAACTTAGCCAAATTTATTTAGGTTGCGGGGCGTATGAGAGGGGTGTGTGTGGGTGAGTGATTGGTTGCGGAGGACTTAGCCAAAATTATCCAGGTTGCGGTTGCCATGACAGGCGTATGACTGGTAGCCGGAGGACTTCGCCGAATACAGGGATTACAGGAAGAAATCTGGGGTATACCCCCCATTGAAAATCCATCAGGGTTGTTGGAAATATCTCAAAGGACTTAAGCGTTTCTGAAGTGTAACACTACACTCGAGGGAACAACGGGTACGCGAGTCAACGGAGGTTTACACGAGGGGTGGACAAAGAACGCGAAGGGACTTGAAGGGTCGCAACTGGAGGTTGCGACTGACCGTTACAACAGCGCGGATGGTAACCGAAGCGACAATCGAGTCGCTGTGCGACTCGATAACCGCTCCTGCAACTGTATTCTACAACTGCTTTACTTCCATTTCTATATATTGCTGTATGCTTGTTTCTTTAATCAATCACTTGTTCTCATATACCGTACTAGTACAAGGGTTCAACTACTCAACTTCCGCTGCACTACTCAAGTCTCATTCTACAACTGGGACTTAGTCTCTGGAAAGATCCTAAGGGCATTTCTCAGCCCAACATGGTATCAGAGCTGGTCAGAGACCAAACTCCCAGCAACTACGCTCTATCTACAATCTGCAATTCAACGACTTCATTGATTACAAGTCATGGACAGCAAGGGCAAGAAAATCTCTACGGGCTCACCCAGCGCCCAAGACACTCAACCCGGCAACTCTGGATTGCACACTTCAGGACTGCAAACCGAGACCGGCGCTGCTCAAGAAACAACAGGAAGAGCACCAGAAATGGTGACCCCATCACCCTCTTCAAGCGTGGATCCAAACCTTATGGAAAGGTTCTTCAGCTTTATGTCGCACTTCGACCAGCAGCAGCAGACAAGGACACCTGCGCATTCAACACAGAGCAACGGAGGAAACATGGGATTAGCGCCGATGAGCCTCGACAACTCATCGTTCGGGCGACACAATCAAGCGCCTACCTTTGCGCCTTATCACTCTTCACCGGGGACGTTCGAGTTCATGCCGCCCCGTGCCCAACCAACAGCAGCTGCATCACAACAAACACCAAACGAGATTTTAAGTCTCCAGGCGCAGTTTTCACACGTGATTAAACTGCAGACATCCTCACCATTCAACGGACACGATTTCTTTACCTGGAGTTTTGAGTTCGAGCTGCTGATGGAGGCTGCGCATCTCCTGGGATACTTCAACGGGTCCCTGCCATTCCCAAGCAATGGCACTGCAAAGGAGCAAGAAATATTTACTTATCAGTCGCTGCTGGCGTACACAGTTCTCCTGCGGAACCTGTCACCACAAGAACACCAGAACATCAGAACATATCGGAGCTATGGAAACTCCGCGGAACTCGCATGGCATCATCTCAAGTGTCTCTATCAAGCAAACGACAGCGTGACACAAAGCAGACTCATGCAACAACTGACAACAATACAGATGAAGACCGGGGAAAAGGCGATGCAGTATATGAGTCGCTGCCAGACCCTCCGCGACCGCCTGCTTCGGTGCGGAGGAACAATCACTGAAGAAAGCTTCGTAACGCTTGTCCTCGCCGGGCTCGGGCCAGAATGGAGAACCACACGCTCGCTTCTTCGCGCCCACGGAAGAATCTCGGAGATGCACCTCTGCGCCGAGCTTCACGCTGAACAACAGGAGATGGACCTGTTCGAAGAACGACAACCAAGGAAGCAGCAGCAGTTAGTTTTCTACACTCAACGAAGGAACGACAACAACTACAATCGACGCGGCAAGCAAGATCAACGCGACAACAGAGGACTCACCTTCGTGCCGCCGTTCTGCCACAACTGTCAGACTTCCGGACATTCCAAAGTCAACTGCACACGTCCTCGTGTTTATCGTCCAGTAGACCCACACGTCGCCTCCACTCAAGAAAGCCCTCCAAGGCGCTCTTCCACATCTGCACAAGGGACACCGAACATCATTAACTGCATGGTACACATCGACAACTGCGCACCCGGATCACCACCCACCTACGCACCAGATGAAGAAGAACTTCCGCCGCCGCGCTCACAAGGACTTCAGGTCAACCCGACATACGCTGCGGTCGCCAACGCCGAACCCACCGGGCGAAACACCTGGTTCTTGGACAGCTGCTGCGGTCAACACATGTGTTCTTCCGGACGATTCGTGCAACGAGAGCGACGCCTCAACCGCGACGTCATCATCACCGTCGCCAACAACGAGAACCTGAAAACAAACAGACAAGGCGTGGTTCAGTTACAATCCATGGAGACAAATGTTATACTTCAACTCCACAAGGTCCTCATCGTCGACAACTTGGGATACAACTTACTAAGCGTAAGCCAGCTAATGGCAAAAGGGATTCACCTGGAGTGCGACTCCTACTCCAACGAGTTTCGCCTTTACCACAGGAAGGGCGGTCTCTTCATCGGTCGTGCTCTCCTGAAGTCCGGCGTCTTCGTGTTGGACTTCGTCCCCGACCGCGGTACTGCCGACAGCGACGGAATCGTGTCATTCGCCGCCTTGACACACCCGCCGGATCTTGACCCCAACTTCGACCCTGATGGGTTCTGGCACTCCAACACCATACCTGCAGCAGAAAGAACACGAGCATTAGCAGTTATCAGACAAGAAAGACAAGTACCAGCAAGTGTCCCTTCCCAACCATCACCTGCAGTAGCAGCAGCAGGACCCAGCCGAGTACCACCACCAGCGATCCGAGGACCGCCAACCGAAGCAGATCAACTTATGCCCATCACACGAGAAGTCTGTCGAAGTCCCGCCACGGTCGTCGCGTTCTTCTCCAACACCGACATATACCACCGCTCGCCCGGCCATCGCGCTCCCGACGACATCTGGCACCAACGACTCGGGCACCCTGCAAATAGTACAATACTGCAAACCATCCAAGCCGAAGTGTTAGAACGCAACGCCCTCCTAACAACGAGCGGCCAAGAACTTCGACGACCACACGCACGGTGCTTTACGTGCACCAGTCTTTCCCATCTCATCACAACCCAAGCGCACCTGCATACGCACCGATGGAAAAAGTCTACAGCGACATTTTAAACATGCCTCGAGAAGACGCTGAAGCCGACTTCAACTATGTCATCACGTTTATCGACGCAGCAACAAGATACGTCTGGCACTACAACCTCAAGACGCGCAATCAAGCCTTCGACGCCTTCACGACATGGCTACCCATTGCCGAACGAGAATCCGGAACCAAGCTCAAGAGCTTCCAGACAGACGGTGCACTGGAATACCAGTCACAACGCTTCAGGACCTATCTGGCGGAAAGGGGAATCAGACGCCTGGTGTCTCTGCCCTACGCTCACCAGCAGCAGGGGGTCGCAGAACGCATGAACCGGACCTTGCAGACGACGATGCGAAAGCTGCTCCTGGGGATGAGACTGCCCACCACACTGTGGCCAGACGCGATGACACATGCAGTCCACCTGCACAACCTGTTGTCCTCGTCATCGCTTCCCAACAACGCATCACCGCACCTGCTGTGGACACAAAAAAGGGGCAGCACAAAATTACTTCGAGTTTTCAGCTGCATGGTACAGTACAGACCCCACACAGCCCGAGCAGGACGCTTCACTCAACGAGCTCGGTGGGGACTACACCTCGGCATCGCAAAACATTTTCACGCATGGAAAATCCTCGACATACAAGACAAAAATACAGTGGCATCACGTGATGTTATCTTCTACGAGCGACTGACGCTGCAGCATTACCTGGACAACATTGCCAACACACACGACCCCACCGACGGCTTCGCGGGCCTTCGTTCCTTCGCCGACCGTGCTGCCGAGGCTGACGCAGCAGAAGAAGACGTACCTGGAGCCTCGGAAGCTGCCGGACCTCTCCCTTTCTGTTCCGTACCTGTTCCACTCGACGAAGACAATCCTCTCGATAGTAACAACCTCGACACCTTTTATCACTTCGCTGACCAAGGTTACATTACACCCCACCCGGTCGACACAAATGTTTCAGAACGCATCGGCCCCAACTTCTTACCTGATCCAGAAGACGGTGACGAAGCAGCCTATTCCGGGAATGAAAATTCCCCTCGACACACACCCACGGGACTACAGATCCTCGGCCTATGGGTCTCCGTCCAGCATCCGCCGCCGCCATCTCCGCGCGAGCCCTCGACTTTGTCGCAGGCTCTGGGGGGGGAACATAAGGCAAAATGGAAGGAGGCGATGGAAAAGGAGCTAAAGGCTCTGCAAGACCGAAATACATGGAAGCTGGTACCTGCAACAAGCATCAACGGGAAGAACGTCCTCTCGGGAAAATGGGTGTACCGCATCAAGACCAACGCGGACGGCTCCATCGAACGATTCAAAGCTCGATGGGTCGTACGAGGCTTCGATCAACGATACGGAACCGCCTACACAGAAACTTTTGCCCCAGTCTCCCGCCACACCTCCCTGCGCATCCTACTCGCCGTCGCGGCCACGAAGAAACTACCACTGCGCCAAATCGACGTCGCAAATGCTTTCCTGTACGCACCTGTGGACGCCGAGATCTTCGTCGAGCAACCCCACGGATTCATCGACGACCCTACAAAAGTATGCCAGCTGATAAAATCCCTCTACGGGATCAAACAAGCTCCGCGGCTGTGGCAGCAGCATCTTCACGGCCGCCTCGTCAGAATCAGCTTCCTACAACTGCCGCACGACCAAGGCATGTATCGACTACAGAAGGAAGAAGCCTTCATCCTTCTCATCGTCTACGTCGACGACCTGCTCTACATCGGCTCCACTACCGACATCGCCACCTGGTTCGAAGGGGAGCTAAAAGAAGACTTAACACTCACGGTGTCCGACGCAGTGACCCAGTACATGGGACCGAATGTCGTCGAAGACAACTCGGCGTTCTACCTACACGCTGGAAAGTACGCAGGCACTGTCGCGAAGAAATTCGGTCTAACGCCGACTACGGTCCCAACTCCCTACCGCTACGGGAACAACAACAGCACCTCCGCAAAACTCCCCGCGAAGCAAATCCAGGAGTATCAACAAAAGCTCGGCTGCCTACTATTCGCAGCAGTAACCTGCCGACCCGATCTCTCTTATAGCGCGAGCCAACTGGCGACGCATCTGAAGCAGCCGGAACAAGAAGATCTCGAGGAACTCAATCGGGCACTACTCTACTTTGTCTCCACACCGACGACCGGACTTACCTACAGCAAAGTAACAACACCGTCCGTACGACTACTCGGATACGTCGACGCCGACCACGCGGGAGACAGGGAAAATCGACGATCGAGAACGGGCTACATCTACCGACTAGAACCTATCGGGACTATCTCCTGGCAGTCGAGCAAGCAGGAACTAATCGCACTATCTTTGGCTGAAGCAGAATATATCGCCCTCTGTACTGCGACCAAGGAAGGACTCTACCTATGAGAGTTGCTCGAGGAAGCGAAGATCGCGACCCTGCCCGTCTTCTCACTCCTCTGCAACAACCAATCTGCGATCAAAATCGCGAACAAGGACGGCTTCGCCAACCGAACCAAACACATTGCCCTGCGGTACTTTTTCGTCAAATATGAAATCGCGAAGGGGAGACTTCAACTCAGTTACTGCCCTACAACAGAAATGGCCGCAGACTACCTGACGAAGAAACTGGCGAAGGCGAAGTTCGATTACTGCATGCTGCTGACCGGGCAGACAAACGTCACCGGATACGAACACGTCAGCACTCCAGAAACGAAGGGGAGTGTTGGAAATATCTCAAAGGACTTAAGCGTTTTTGAAGTGTAACACTACACTCGAGGAAGATCGCAACGGGTACGCGAGTCGACGGAGGTTACACGAGGGGATGGACAAAGAACGCGAAGGGACTTGAAGAGTCGCAACTGGAGGTTGCGACTGACCGTTACAACAGCGCGGATGGTAACCGAAGCGACAATCGAGTCGCTATGCGACTCGACAACCGCTCCTGCAACTGTATTCTACAACTGCTTTACTTTCCTATTTTCTATATATTGCTGTATGCTTGTTTCTTTAATCAATCACTTGTTCTCATATACTAGTACAAGGGTTCAACTACTCAACTTCCGCTGCACTACTCAAGTCTCATTCTACAACTGGGACTTAGTCTTTGGAAGGATCCTAAGGGCATTTCTCAGCCCAGCAGTACCCACTAAGAACATACCCTATATATCCTATAACTTTTACACAACAATATATGAATAAATTGACACACCCCCTAGGTTAGATAAGGGGTAGTGCGGAGCAAGGAACACGCAGTTCAGGGTGGCACTACTAGTCCAACCTCTGAGGCAGGGGCCCGAAGTTCAGTCAGCAAGAGTACAAGCAAGACAGAGCAAACCAGGGCGGCACTGTCGAGTGACCCGCTGGGTTACCCTTGAAAAGATCCTCGGGGAAGGGCCACAGGTGCAGAGCCTGGGGGGTTATGGGCGCACTAACACGCTATTAAACAAGTCCTTTTAACCCAGTGGTGTGACTGGGTTTCTGACATGGTATATTAGAGCCAAAGGTCTTGGGATCTAGTCCCAGTGCCAGTGCTGCAGAGGCGCTCGTGTCTTCCACCTATCCCAGCGAGGGGGGGTGTTGAGTGACCCGCTGCGCTACCCTTGAAAAGATCCTCGGGGAAGGGCCAGAGGTTCAGAGCCTGGGGGGTTATGGGCGCACTTATCCGTTGTTTAACAAGCCCTTTTAACCCAATGGTTAGTGACTGGGTTTCTGACAGGCACTACTAGTCCAACCACTGGAGGAAAAGCCACAAGGCCAGTCTGGAAGGCATAAATAGAAAGGAGTGCACAATCAAGGGCCTAGCAAGTGAGTCAACAGGGACTAGACCTAACTGCAAGCAGTGCCGCTGATGATCTCTAGGTGGAAGCGCCTTAGTAAAGATATCAGCTGTGTTGGCACCGGAGGCCAAGTGTACTACGCGGGCCTGGCGACGCTGCTGAAGCTCGCGCATGAGGAAGTACCACAGCTGAATGTGCTTCGCTCTGCCCTCAAGTCGAGGCTCCTGACACAGGAGGATCATGGCCCTGTTGTCAGCGTACAGAACCAGAGAAGAACTAGGCCGCTCACCTAAGTCTGTGGGCAAGAAGGTCAGCCAGCGGAGCTCCTGTGCCGCCATGGCACCGGCGTAGATCTCAGCCTTGCAGCTAGACTGAGCAACAGACGAGGAGCGAGTGGACCTCCACGAGATGGCACCAGAACCAAGGCTGAAGCAGTAGCCCTGGGAGGACCGGAGGGTCTCAGCATCGTCTGCCCAAGAAGCGTCTGTGTGCCCAGTAAGGACCACTGGCCTGCGTCCTCCCAGCACTAGCCCCATGCCCGATGTACTTGCAAGATAACGCAAAACCCTCTTAGCGGCCGACCAGTGTTGTGGTCGGTGTTTGCCTGTGGCCACAAAGCGGGCCAGGATGCTGAGAGGGTATGCGAGATCTGGACGAGTGCAAGTCATCAGGTACATGAGGCAACCCAGCAGCTCTGTGTAAGGACCACTGGGCTGTGCTGACTCCTCGGGAACTGGAACTGAGAGCATGTGGTCTACCGGCAGAGGTGTGGGCTGTGCGGAGGAGAACTGAAGACCGAACCTCTGAAGGACCTGGCGCACCAAGTGTGACTGTGTAAGAGTGATGGTGCGCGTTGCTCTGTCCCTGGAGATCTGCAGGCCAAGGTAGCGGCGCAGCTCTCCCAGGTTAGTGCAGGTGTGTTGCCTCAGCAGCTCAGCCTTCACGGAGGTCAGCGCGTCTCTGTCAGCTGTAGCAAAGACCAGGTCGTCTACGTAGACCAGGATGTAGAACGGAGTCTGGCCAGCACGAACGCAGAGCGAAGGGTCAGCAGTGGACGGAAAGAACTGCAGGTCAGCTAGCGTGGCAAACAGCATGTCGTGCCACTCACGGGGCACCTGTCGCAAGCTGTAGACGGGGCGCCGGAGAAGCCACTGGGTCCCAGGAGGGAAAGTACCGATGAAGCCCTGAGGGCGGCGCAGGTAGACCTGCTCGTGTAGGACGGACGGAGGACAGACAAGGTCAGAGACCAGAGCGGTAGCGAATTCAAGGTGGCGAGTAGAGGCAAAGTCAGCGACAGCAGCTACAAGAGTGTCAAGACTGGAGACAGGGACAGGCGGGCCGGTAACAAGTGAGGCAAGGACTCGAGGAACAAGAGGATGAGCAGCACGAAGGTAGTCAGACAGAGGGGGAGGCGCGATAGTGAGCAACGACGGAGGAGGCGAAGGCAAACGGGGAAGACGAGATGCGTGGGAGAGAAGCAACATAGGGTGAGAACGCTGAACAGGAGAGCCAGGACAGGCATTAGAGGGACGGCGACACCAAACGTGAGATGGAGGCGTCGGGTCAGGAGACAGAGGATGAGTAACAGGAGGGGAACGAGAGGGGAAACAAGCCGGGGACGAGTCTGTCGGAGGAAACACAGGACCGTGAACAGGAAGAGGGGAGGCGTAGGCGAGCGGCCAGGGGAGGGAAGGCCGAGCAGGCGAAGGGCGGACTCAGGCGGCGGCTGCTGCGGCTGCTGCTCAACGCAGACACCTGGACCACCAGCTTCAGCACTGCTACCTCCGGTACACTCCACGCCAGCACCCCCAGAACGAGAAACGTCTCCAGCGCCGGTGCCACCCCCGAGCCCGCTGGGATAAGCCACGACAGGAGCCCCAGGACTAGCACCCTCTCCAACTCTAGCACCCCCAGAGTCCACGAACGGCTGCGGCTGTGACGACGGCTGCGGCGGTGACGGCAGCGGCTGTGGCGGCGGCTACGGCTGCGGCGACGGCTGCGGCTGCGGCGGCGACTGCGACGAGGGAGGAGGAGACACCGGGGGAGGGACAGGTGGCGCGGACTGCGCCGCAGGGCCACCGGAGTCAGCCAACTCCTCGACCGGGACAACCGACGGGAGGGGGGTGACGTGAGACACACCAGACAGAGCAGGACGGGGAGGGAGGGGAGCAGGGGCAATCGCGGGAGTGGGAACCAGAAACAGGGGGGGGGGGAATCGGGAGACCTCGGTGAGGAAAGCGGTGGAATCAGAGTAATTCTCTTTGTTTCTCTGAAAATCATAGTCGTTTTTGAAAACTACTCTTGGTGACCTGAGTAAAAAAAAAGAGGTTTTATTTTACTTTGATTATATCAGAGTAACCATTTGTATCCCTCTGAGGGTTAGTGTATAAGGGGTATATCTTTAGATTTCCCCTGTACCCCGTACCTGGCCATGCCCCAATATCCCGCCAAACGCGTCATTTTACGCGTACCGCCAAGCAGTGGCACGTCATATGCTGCCATCCTTGCCACTGCTGGCAGCATCCTTTGCGCTGATTAGTCACCACTGCAGCATCACTGGCAGCGGTTCCCTCACCACCGCACGTCGACCTTGGTCACCATCCATGCATGCACGACCAACCTCACTCCCTCACCCACTCCGAGGCGCCCCACAATTCACCCACCCTCCAAGAAGAGTAGACGAAACCCTCGTCTTGTTCAACCTTCCCTTCCTCCCCTTCACCAAATATGTCTCTCACACCTTCCTAGCATAAGAAAACCTCCGCTTACCTTCGCCGTCGCTGCCGTCCGTCGTCACTCGTGCCACTGTCGCCATGGCTGGCACGGGTGAGGCCGACGATGGCGGTGGCGACGAGTCTCTCCCTTTGCGAACTCCTAGTTCGCTCCCTCTTAGTGGGCTCGACTTTCTCCATCGAGTTGCTACCACTCCAGTTGAGCCACAACCTCTGCCTTCTCTCAGTAGTGAGGAATGGTAGAGAAATTTAGAGGCTATGGTCGACGCTGAAGGTCCTGTCGCTGAACCTTCAGCTATACCTGTTGTCTCTACATCAACTCCAACGTCCACATCAACGGCATCAACTCCAGCCTCAACTCGCGTGTCTGCCTCAAAAAGGAGACTCATCTCCTGTTCGCGACGCCTCCCCAAAAGCCTCCGCCACCACCAGAACCATAGCCCATGCTACAGCAAGTGCCAGCGGCTGCTTTAACCCCTGCCGAGAAGAGGGCAAAGGCCTATCTTGCCGCGCAACGGAAGTACACTACCAACTGGTTACCAAAATCCCCCTGGCTAGTGCTGGATAAGTCTAACGATGGTGCCCCTTGCTTGTGTTGCAGTATCTGTATGGAACACGGCGAAGACCACGCATGATACGGGCGCAACGGTGCTGGTGGATGGGGTCTCCAGATAGGCTCAATGCGTTGGCATGAGGTGGACACATGGCAGAAGAAGCTGGAAGTGCAGGAACAAAGAGCGCGCACTTGGGTCAAGTCGAACCTGGAGCTGTTTCACAACACGCTTCCTGGTATGTATGTTGTCGATCCCTCCATGCACGTATCCCTAGCACCCACAATGTCGTCTCGCTATATGTTTTATAAAATGGTGGCAACACCATCATGGTTCTTAATCGATGTGTTCCCTTTCAATGTCTCGAATCCCGCCCTAGCCCTTCCACAAGAGTGGATGGTCGAGCAGCTGAGCCGGAGTTGAAGACTTTCTGTCACATCATGAAGACGCACCGTGCTGATGACGACTTCGACCAAGGTCTCGCCAACATGCTGAAGATGAGGGAGTGGGCCAAGAGCTATCCGAATCTCATGAGGATCTGGCAGGCGATGGCGGTTCTGCCCTTGAGCACCGTCGAGTGCGGGTGCGGTTTTAGCAGGCAGAATGTCGTCAAGAGCTGGCTGAGGACGAGCCTGTGTAATGCAAGACTCGGCAACCTGATGACCATTAGCCTCCTCGAGTACGACATGGAGATTTGGAGGCGCCAGAAGAACCGCAGACAGGCAAAAGTAGTGGCTTATGAGAGGAGCAGCGATGCTGCCAAGGGCAAGGAGCATGATGAGTCCGATGAGTCAGAGGAGGAGAGTGGCTTTGGTGAGAGTGCCTCAGAGGGAGAGGAGGATGAGCATGATGAGTAATGTATGCATGCGTATTTGAAATTAAATGTGCGTCTATCGGACCAACCACAAAATCCCATTAATCATGTGTTTTTTGGGGTGCACTACAGCAGGACAGAGTTGTGGGAATTTCTCCTCTGCACTACCAGTGTAAATTTTTCAAAATGGTAAAAAACCCTAGCAAATCAGAGAAAGTCTTTGAAGGTGCACTCTGATTTTCAGAGTAATGCGAAATGCCACTCCCCGATATCAGAGTAGGCCCTGGTTCGAAGCACATGTTTCTTTCGCTATTCCCGCCCAAATTGCGAGTACAATCTTAGGTTTCTACCCCCCTCACAACTCGACCCATTTCTCCCCTCCAAGAACTTGGCAGGTTGGCACTGCCAAGTTCCAAGAGGCCCCCAACCCTGCCAGGTTGGAAACCTTTCGCGAGCGTTTGGCAGTTTGACACAAGCTGCTCGGTTACGGGGGCCTCAAGGTGCAGCATCTTGAGAAAAGGGGACTTGCAACCTGCCGGTCGGGCTTTAAAGTCGTTGACCCAAATTGCAGAAATTTCGTTTCAAGATTATTAATCTTGAACCCTCCCGATTGGTAACCTTGTTCCCCAAAGCGAGAGCAGAAACCCTCGTCGCACACTGTAAGGAATCTCCTAAATCATAACACACACCAAAAGGGAGCTGAAATTTTTGACACGCGTGCGCCACCCCCTGCCGATTCCGCCCCCGCCCCCGACACACAGGGCGTTTGCGCATAAGGAAACTTGAAACTGCGCGCATGCATTTTGGGACTTTCTGTTGTGCACAACCCAGCCCAGCGTCACCACTCCCAAGGCAGCATAAGCAGCATACATCGAGTGCCCAAGACACACATACCAGGGCCTCGACGATACGCCAAAGACAGACTTCCTTCCACCAAAAGTCAGACTCACGACCAATAGCCCCGCCTTAGCATTCCCACGAATGCCATGTAAGGACCTTCAAATCGCACTGTCTCTAACACCCGTAGTACCCTCCGATTTCTACCCTCGGACCACAAAAAAATGTCGCCGAAACCGGCGTCACCTACAGCCCGAGACCCTGCAGCAGAAACGCGTGCGACGAGCTCGAGCTGTGCAAGGAGGGAGTAAGGGTTAGTAACATGCATGAAAGGTACCCACAGCCCATGCGGTTTCATTACCCAAAGGTGGCTGGAAAACTACAGCAAAGGCGGCGAAGCCGAACAATCTCGTGTATGCTTCGCGTAGAGGTGGGGTTCGTAGCACGGCAGCAGTGGAGTACATATAAAGCTCAGAGGGGTTAGAAACGCATTCGTACCATGCTCACGTCCCCCTCTTCCCCAGTCCCCTCTCACTTGCTCGGCTCGCTGTTGTGGTGCCGTGGGGCACATCCGCCATGCGCCTTCCCGCTCCCACACGCGCAGTTCTTGCTGCTTCCGCGCCATCAGTTCTCATTCTCCCTCGTGATTTTCAGCCTGCTGGATGGTGCCTTCGCATGTTTCTGCACCGGTACGCAAATCTGATCTCCGGATTACTCGTACTGGATCAACTCCCCTCATCTCCTTCCCCCACTGCCTTCTCTCCCCATCCGGTGCCCTGCCGCTGGGCGTGTGCGTGCCGGAAGATGTGGCAGCAGCGGGAATTGGAGCAGAGGATCAGAGGAGCGGAGAAGCAGAGGAGCGGAGGAGCAGAGGAGCAGAGGAGCGGAGGAGCAGAGGAGCGGAGGAAGAGAGTGGCGGAGGAGGAGAGGCGCAGTGGAGCGGAGGAGCGGAGGAGAAGAGGAGCAGAGGAGCGGAGGGGCAGAGGAGCGGAGGAGCAGAGGAGCAGAGGAGGAGAGGAGCGACGGAGCAGAGGAGCGGCGGAGCAGAGGAGCGGAGGAGGAGAGGAGGGGCGGAGCAGAGGAGCGGAGGAGCAGAGAAGCGAAGGAGGAGAGGAGTGGAGGAGGAGAGCATCGGAGCAGAGGAGCGGGAGGAATAGAGGAGCGGAGTAGCAGAGGTGCGGAGGAGCAGAGGAGCGGCGGAGGAGAGAAGCGGAGGAGGAGAGGAGCGGAGGAGCAGAGGAGCAGAGGAGCGGAGGAGGAGAGGAGCGGAGGACGAGAGTAGCGGCGGAGCAGAGGAGCGGAGGAGCAGAGGAGCGGAGGAGGAGAGGAGCAGAGGAGGTACGCTGCGGAGGAGGAGAGGAGCGGCGGAGCAGAGGAACGGAGGAGCAGAGGAGCGGAGGAGCAGAGGAGTGCAGGAGGAGAGGAGCGGAGGAGCAGAGGAGCGGAGGGGTAGAGGAGCGGAGGAGGAGAGGAGCAGAGGAGGAACAATGCGGAGGAGGAGAGGAGCAGCGGAGCAGAGGAGCAGAGGAGGAGAGGAGCAGAGGAGGAGAGGAGCGGAGGAGCAGAGGAGTGGAAGAGAAGAGGAGCGGAGAAAGAGAGGAGAAGAGGAGGAGAGGAGCGGAGGAGGAGAGGAGCGGAGGAGGAGAGGAGCGGAGGAGGAGAGGAGCGGAGGAGGAGGGTAGCGGCGGAGCAGAGGAGCGGAGGAGGAGAGGAGCGGAGGAGCAGAGGAGCGGAGAAGCAGAGGAGCGGAGGAGGAGAGGAGCGGAGGAGGAGAGGAGCGGAGGAGGAAAGTAGCGGCGGAGCTGAGGAGCGGAGGAGGAGAGGAGCGGAGGAGCAGAGGAGTGGAGGAGCAGAGGAGCGGAGGAGTAGAGGAGCGGCGACGCAGAGGAGTGGAGGAGGAGAGAAGCGGAGGAGGAGAGTAGCGGCGGAGCAGAGGAGCGGAGGAGCAGAGGAGCGGAGGAGGAGAGGAGCAGAGGAGGTACGATGCGGAGGAGGAGAGGAGTGGCAGAGCAGAGGAGCGGAGGAGTAGAGGAGCGGAGGAGGAGAGGAGCGGAGGAGCGGAGGAGCGGAGGGGCAGAGGAGCGGAAGAGCAGAGGAGTGGAGGAGGAGAGGAGCGGAGGAGGAGAGTAGCGGCGGAGCAGAGGAGCGAAGGAGGAGAGGAGTGGCAGAGCAGAGGAGCGGAGGAGCAGAGGAGCGGAGGAGCAGAGGAGCGGCGGAGCAGAGGAGCGGAGGAGCAGAGGAGCGGAGGAGGAGAGGAGCAGAGGAGCGGAGGAGCGATGAGGGTGGGAGGAGGGTGGGAGGGTGGGAGGAGTGACGCAGCCCTCCTGCATCCGCGCCTAGTGAGGGTGGGAGGAGTGACGCTGCTGCTGGCAGCAGGGAGCCCGCCGGTGGGAGGAGCACAGGTGCAGCTGCGCCTTGCCGTGGGAGGAGCTAGTGCAAGAAGAGGAGTGTGCGATGGGGCAGGAGGAGGAGTGCAAGGAGAGGTGCAGCAGCGTTCGCCTACCTTCCGCACTCCCTCTGCGCCTTCCTCCTCCTCACGCCACTCTTTCCTCCGCCTCTGGCTGTCAGTGGTCGAGCTATAAGACCCACCCCATGTGACAGCTTGTAACTGCCAACGGGTATGTAGGTGAGCTGTAACTGACAACGGGTAAGCAGGTGAGAGGGTAACGGCTGGTATGGTAAGTCCCTGGTGACGACCCTGCAGCTGCCAAATCCCCCCCCCTCTCCCTCTAGCAGCAGCAAGCCCACCCGCCCGGCAGCAGCAGCTGCAGCCCATTGACACGCCCATCGTAGCCACTTCACATGCCACCAATGGCTCATCCAGCATCAGTTTATTGCAAACTCATTTCTGAGACTCCAGCAATCAATTCCGGCTGCTTCGAAGTGCCGAACCGACCTTCCTCCACCGCCCTTCCCTTTGTCCCCTGCCCGTCCTCCCTCTGCCCCTCCCATTCCAGTAGACGCCTCCCCCCGACACCAACCACCAGGACGCCTGCCACCAGCACACAGGTGCACTCAGGCAGACGCCCCGCCACCTGCACTCGAGGGGGGAGGAGGGCGGATGGAAGGGGACCTTGGGAGGACTGCAGGGGGGTAGGAGGGGGGATGGAAGGGGACCTTGGGAGGACTGCAGGGGGGTAGGAGGGGGGATGGAAGGGGGACCTTGGGCAGACTGCATGGGGGAGGAGGGAGGAACGAAGGGGGACCATAGGCAGACTGCAAGGGGGTAGGAGGGAGGATGGAAGGGGGACCTTGGGCAGATTGCAAAGGGGTAGGATGGAGCTGTGTGAGGGGGAACTTGGGCTGACTACATGGGGAATGGTGGGTGCCTGGACGAGGGAATTTGAGCAGTCTGCAGGGTGAACGTAGGGTGGCTGGAGGGGGGATATGGGGAGAATGGTCACGGGAGAATGACAGGGGGTAGGCAAGTTGGAGGAAGGAGGGAGACATGGGGAGGACGAACGCACGATTTACGGGAGGAGCCATGGCTTCCTACGGGTGTGTTTGGAGCTTCCCCGCTTGACTGCACTAAGAGCCGTGTTTGTTATTCTATAACTCTGCCGCCGACATCATATTACAAGTACCAGGTTCAGTGGACCTCGCGCATTGTTCGGCACACCATGCAGGTTTAGTAGGTTTGGAGAAGGCACAACTAGGAACACATGACTCATGCATAAATACTTTAAGCAGAAGGGGGCTAGCTGAAACCATGAGCCACAAGAGTGGCCACTGGACACACGTATTGCACGGCCTCATGGTCATGTCTACTGTTTGCTTACCCAACAAACATCCTAAAACCATGTTTATCGTAACACTCAACAACCCAAGACCCATACGGCAAGCGGATACCGTCCCCAACCACCGATGACCCCAGCTGTGTCACCTCCACCTAGGATCTTGAGATGCCCAACCGTTACCACATGCAAGTTGGGGGCACAACCTGCCGTGACAAGGAACCTGCCACAAGAAAACCAAGCAAAGACCCCTGGAATGAACCTCAATCACCTAAAGCATGGGCGACTGCACTAGCATTGTAGGTGATGAGGCGGTCAGGCAACGCTTTACGCATGGTATTGGATTCCGAAAATTGAAGCAATGAGTTGTTTTACACCACATAACATAGGAGCTGCTGGAATAAAAGCGAACACAATTCGTGATATCATACGGCAGATACTGGCAGGTCATCCCACACTCAGACCCCCCCACCCAGCTCCTCCCTTCAAAGCTGTCCCCCTCACGTCCATCCCCTTGGGTGTTTTCCCCATTGTTTCTCTACCCTTCCCAACGTTGCCCCACCCAGCTCTCCCCTTCTTAGCACACCCCCTCTCAGCAATACCCCTGCTGTGCTTCTCTCAAAGCAGTCTTCACCATCTCTTAGCTCTTCCCTGCCCATCTGACCACCACTCAGCTCTTCCCCTCCTAGCTCTTCCCCTCCTAGCTCTCACCCTCCTAGCTCCCCCCCTCCTAGCTCACCCCCTCGCAGCTTTCCCCCTTGCAGCATTCACCCTCTCAGCTCTCCCACTCTCAGATCACCCCCTCTCCGTTGTCCCCCACTCATCTTTCCCCCACTCATCTTTCCCCCTCTCATCTTTCCCCCACTCATCTTTCCCCCTCTCATTTTTCCCCCTCTCATCTTTCCCCCTCTCATCTTTACCCTCTTAGCTTTCCCCCACTTAGCTTTCCGCCTCTCAGCTTTCCCCCAATTAGCTTTCCCCCTCTTAGCTTACCCACTCTCAGCTTTCACCCTCTCAGCTCTCCCACTCTCAGCTCACCCCCTCGTAGCTTCCCCTCTCTCAGCTTCCCCCCTCTCAGCTTCCCCCTCTCAGCTTTCCCCCTCTCAGCTTCCCCCCTCTCAGCTTCCCCCCTCTCAGCTTTCCCCCTCTCAACTGTCCCCCTCTCAGCTTTCCCCCTCTCAGCTTTCCCCCTCTCAGCCTTCCCCCTCTCAGCTTCCCCCCTCTCAGTTTTCCCCCTCTCAGCTTTCCCCCTCTCAGCTTTCCCCCTCTCCACTCTCCCCCTCTCAGCTCATCCCCTCTCTGCTTTCCTCCTCAGTTCTCCCTTTCCCATCTTTGCCCCACTCAGCTTTCCCCCTCTTAGCTCAACCCCTCCCAACTTTCTTCCTCCCACCTTTCCCACCCCCCCACTTGGCATTCCACCCGTCAGTTGTCCCGCCCTTTCCTTTTCCCGTCTGTGCTACACCCCGCCCTCCATCTAGGCAAGCGCATTTGGTAGCAAGGCTACTACTTACCGGTGGCAACCAATGCAGGGGTTGAATTAGCCATGGTGGCGCAACGGTGACCCAGTGGCATCGCACCATTCAGCGCACTTCGGCAATCCATGTGCATGAGAGCGGGGAGGGGTGGGGCATGTGGAAGTGGCATAGTAGTATAGCAAGTCCGCCATTGTCGCCTTCTTTGCTCCTCCCATGAGCGCAGACAGTCCGCCTAGCTGGACACAGACTGCTGGCCTCACGTGTTTTGAAACACCATGCATGGGTTTGTCATGCGCCTGGCCCAACACTGCCGCCGGATGGTCCTTGTTTGGGTCTGCGGCTGCCTCGCCCCTGTTGGGTTGCGTTTGGGGAGAGAGATGGTTAGGGCGGGGTTTGGGGCTGGCCTTGATAGGGGTGACACGGGGTGGCCCTGTGGGGGATGCTTTTGTTGTGTGATGTCATCATATGCTATCACATTCTGTCTGCCTCCCATCCCATGTTTTTTCAACTTGCATGTGTGGTTTGAATGTGCAAGCATTTGTGTGTGGTGTGTTCTGGAGTTTGGGAATGTGTTTTGTGTTATTCTGTCTGAGCAGGTATTTGTGATAATAGATCTTGAGAAGATCTTTCCGACGCAACAAGAATCGCTTCAATCGGAGCAAGAACGCGAAAGCTATGAAGATTCAAAGTTCATGAGCTTGCGTTACAATTGCGGCGGTTACTAAGTGAAGTTGTGGGGTGACTTTATATGGAGTTGGGACCTTTGGGGTTGGGGAAACTTGTCACTCTACTGTAACAGCTGCAAATTGGTTGGGAACAACCAAGCTAGGTTGGCAAGGGTGGCCAACTTGGATGGATTGGTTGGGAAGGGACAAATGTCAAAGTTGGGGTTCCTATAGGGAGGGAATCTTTGTGCTTATGGGGTTTCCTTGGTTGGGGACTCTCTTGGGACCTTCCCTCTCATCCCTCTCTTCCTATCCCAACCTTTCTCTTGCTCCTTCTAATTCCTTGTGAGATTCTTGAACTTTGATTGAACTCTTGAGATTGAGTTAAGTTCTCCTCCTACAGCTTACCCCCTAGTGCGTCGAAAGCCATAGCGTCGCGAATACTTCATCAATCAACGTGATTCAAATTGGGAACGGTAGCTGAGATCAAGAGCTACAACATATCCAAGTTTCGCGACATTCCAACGGCTAGTGTTTTGTCGACGTCGTTTCTTGTGAAGACGACTTTTCTGTCCAGAATTTCGGATTTATATTTTGAGTAATTCTAGCTCCTAAGTTCACCTAGACTCTGTCCTTAATCCTAACAAGTGGTATCAGAGCTGTATTAAGGACGTTGAGAGGAGTCTACAGAAGTGTGAAGACCCTTCTAGACCCACCATGGCCTGTGGGTGTGCCTAAGTGGTGTTCTAAAGGTTGGATGTGTCTTCCGCTAAGGGAAACTCTGCCGAAATTTCGTGGACGCCGACACTTGTGAAAATATCGAGGGAGCTGAGTGTGGACAGCAAAGGGGGGCTGAAATTCGTCATTTCTCAAGGAGAAGATGAATGAGAGAGGAGGAGATGCTAATGGAAGACCTCTCTTAACCCTTACCTCCCTGCCCCACCTTGACATACAAAAAATGCTAACCTCAAACACATCTCGATGGCCATGCCTTGACTCCCCCCTCAGTTCCCACATAACCCACCTCCCTGCTGCACCTTGCTGCTCCTCTCGGCTGTACCCTTGCTCATCTCCCTGCAGCACCTTGCTGCTCCTCTCGGCTGTACCCTTGCTCACCTACCTGCCCCACCTAGGAGCTTCTCTCGGCTTCCCCCTTGCTCACCTCCTTGCCTCACCTTGACACTCGTCTCTGCTTCCCCCCTGCTCCCCACTCCTGCCTCACCTTGACACTCCTCTCTGCTTCCCCCTGCTCCCCACTCCTGCCTCACCTTGACACTCCTCTCTGCTTCCCCCCTGCTCCCCCCTCCTGCATCACCTTGACACTCCTCTCTGCTTCCCCCCTGCTCCCCCCTCCTGCATCACCTTGACACTCCTCTCTGCTTCCCCCCTGCTCCCCCCTCCTGCATCACCTTGACTGTCACAGGATCGAATGTCCCGAGGAAAGGTTTCCTCAATGTTGCACTATCAATCAGTACAAGGGGCTTTTATACTTCCAGATTACATCAGGTAACCAGGTTTATCCTATCCAAAGGGAATAGACCGTTCTAGAAATAGAATCACCCTGCGTATAGCCACGCGAGGCTATTGGCTTTAAGGGATTACGGCAGGATTACGCTAGATATAGCGCGCCAGTACATCCCGAGCCTGGTCGGTGATATAATTATAATAACAGGATAAACCAAAGGATAATGGAAAATGAGGAATAGGAAACCAAATGAAATGAGATAAAGACCAAATGAATGAGGATAAAAAGAGGAATGAAAGAGAAAGGAAATATGGAAAGGGGAAATTGGTGTAACGGGGTCGTACTCTCACATTGACACTCCTCTCTGCTTCCCCCCTGCTCCCCTCTCCTGCATCACCTTGACACTCGTCTATGCTCCCCCCTTGCTCACTTCCCTGCACACCCTCCTCTCTGCTTTCCCCCCTGCTTTCCCCCCTGCTCCCCCCTCCTGCATCACCTTGACACTCTTCTCTGCTTCCCCCCTGCTCCCCACTCCTGCCTCACCTTGACACTCCCCTCTGCTTCCCCCTCGCTCCCCACTCCTGCCTCACCTTGACACTCCTCTCTGCTTCCCCCCTGCTCCCCCTTCCTGCATCACCTTGACACTCCTCTCAGCTCCCCCCTTGCCTGCCTCCCTGCCTCACCTTGACACTCCTCTCTGCTTTCCCCCTGTTCCCCCTCCTGCATCACCTTGACACTCCTCTCTGCTTCCCCCCTGCTCCCCTCTCCTGCATCACCTTGACACTCGTCTATGCTCCCTTCTTACTCACCTCTCAGCCTCCGCTTGACACTCCCCATGGCTCCCCCCTTGCTCACCTCCCTGCCCCACCTTGACACCCCTCTCAGCTCCCCCCTTGCTCATCTCCCTGCCTCGCCTTGACACTTCTTCCTGCTCCCCCCTTGCTCATCTCCCTGCCTCACATTGGGAACGTGTGAGGGGTACAAAGCACTGCGCGTTAATCCGTGCGGGGCCCCATCGTGCTTGGTGGTATGCAGCGCCCTCGCATGTATGGTTCGCGCCTATGGCCGGTGGCGCTTAGTGATTTTTGCGTCGCGCTTTGGGCGGCCGTCCCGTGGTGTTTTTTTTCCCCTTCTATCTTTCCAGCCTGGCTCTCATTTTTGTCTCCCTCGCGGGCTTGCAAACGCTCACCTGTGTCCCTGCGGTTTCTGCCGTTTGCGGGCCATGTGCGCTTCGGGACCGTTTCCGCGATCAGCGCTAGTCTTTGCGACGCGCTGCCTTCCTGCGTTATGAAGGGCCGCGACTATCCTGTCTCCTATGCCTTCACAACCTTTTGCGCTCTTTGTATGCCGCTCGTTCCTTACATGAGCTTCCCAATGCCTAGTTAATATGCTGTGTGCTGCTGCGTGCAGAGTGACGTGGCGGCTGGTGGTATTGTCCTCTCCCTCACAACCTTTTTCGTTGCTCACCAAATCCATTTTGTGTTGCCAAGTTACCCACCGTTTGCTACCCTGCTTGACCCCGCAGTTTGCAGTTTGTCATGCTCGTTGTTTTTGGTGTTCTCCTTCCCCCCCCCCCCCCCCGCCCTGTACCTTGCGCGCCCCTCCTGTCGCAAAAGCGACTGCAGCTTTACTCAAATATTCAATTAAATCATTACATGAAACCACAAACGTCATGTCAGGATGGCCGAGTTGGTCTAAGGCGCCAGTTTCAGGTACTGGTCCGAAAGGGCGTGGGTTCGAATCCCATTCCTGACAATGGTGTATCTTTTCTCTCTTTGCTGTCCTGTTCGTGTCTGGTGTTTGTAGGTCTTATCTGGTGGTGGTGTCAATCATTTCGTGGAAACTCATCAGGACTGACGATATAGTGGTTACCGCTTGGCGAACAAATCTTCCTGCGAGCGACGGAACCGATCGCATCATATTGCAGCAGAAGAACCTTCGCGAAGCCTGGAGCTGTGATTGTTTGCTCGGCTACTAATTTCGAAATCCACAGCAATGGCTGCCTGGCTGCACGAAGATACTGTAAATGAGCCAGCCGTCCGAATCACACAGACTCGACCACTTTTCCTTGGCTTGAGGCATGTCAGCTGTTTCCCCTATCGAGCTCTCTCGCTCTAACCTCCTTTATGACAGAACACGCCACGTCGTCACTTTCCGACCAATCTTCCTACATAAAGTGACCTTCTAGTTCATTCTAATTGCGACTACTGGGACAGATGCAGCCAGTGAGCGCTCTCTCGCGCTTTCCATGGTCAACACCAGTAGTGTACCCCCCCTTCCAACATCACCTACGTCGTAGATATTTTTCCGCCATCCACAAATATCGACCAGCATCAATCGAAACAATCGAGCACACAAATATCGATTCCAGCTGAGTCTACGCTGCTCCGTGGCTCTGACTCGACCACGAAGAAGCTTTCCGCGTCATGCAACTTGGGAAATCCCACTGTCGTTTTAGTCGCCAGATATTCTCCCCCTCCTCTTCCGCTGCTCTTCCGCTGCTCTTCCGTTGTTTTGTCGAGCAATTAGTCTCTTGAGCGCCCGATGGTGTCTGCCTGCTTTGGGTACACAACAGAGCTCAGCTCTGCTGCTGCCAGCACGGAATCAGTGATTTCTTAGGAGCCGCTGAACCTTTCTGTAGCCGCCATGGGGTGTGTTTGCACCATGAAGCTCCGTAGGCCTCACACCTCTGAACCGTACAAAACTCCTTCATCTCCACAACCATGCTCCCGCCAACCACACCTGTTCACTTCCACGGAGCCTGATTTTCTGGACACTGAATGGGAGATTCTAGACAGCGTCTCTCCAGCGATTTCCAGCCCTTTGTGGACGGTAACGGAAACCGTCAACGCTTACGTCTTCTGCGTGGAGCAACGCGGTCTTCCGCTGGAGCGCGTGCAAGTTCTGCTGGACAGACGCGTAGGCCACGGGCTCGTTGACAGGCATTGGAAGGAAGAGAACGACCCTATCGGTAGCAGATCATCCGACCAGGAAAATGACTGGTCGCAGCAGTCGCCCACCCAGCAGTCGCAATGGTCGCAGGCGTCGCCCAGGCATGGCACGGATTCCGGCAGCTTGGAAGCAGCGCAGCTAACCATCGTGTGCGCGTTTCCCTCCGCTTCTCACACCGCAGACAGGGCAGGCTCCCTCTGGACGGCTGGCCGGCGATTCAGACTGCCACCTGACGCCGTAGCAGAGGAAACGGCGGCCATGCAGACGGTGAGAGGATCGTTGGTCGTCAACGTCCCTCGCTCCCCGTCGAGAAAACCCAGCACTTCGTGTTGCTCATCCTTCTTCGTACCCTTCTGGAAAGTCCTACGGTCCAAGATTTGGCAGGTGGACTGTACACGTGGCATCAGCAGCGTCATCGTTAACCGCCTCGTCATCATCACATCCAGAGAAGCAGTATCAATCATCCCCCAACTCGTTTCAGCATTTTGATCCTGAGTTGCTCCAAAGTCTGCAAGTATGAGGTGTGATGCAGCCAGGTGCTTCAAGCATTGTGATGGCATCAGCCTGCATTGGGCTTTTCCTCCTGTACAGTTCTTTTCCCTCCTACTAGATTACCAGGTGCGAACTGTGTACCAAGTTCAGTTGAGCGTAGTGTTTTCCAAGCATACGGTACTAGCAGAATATGGAGTTAATAATGAAAAGATGCCTGAGCTGGAATAAAGAACTGAAGCCAGTCTCCTCGCTTCATGAAGCTCACATACTGCACAGATGGTGCACATAAATAAACCCATCCAACAGACTAGTTGACTACGCAGTTAAGGTCACAAAACAAATGAATTATTCTGCGTGTGCCATCGAAACAGGTGATCCTCCAGATAGCCCACCCATGAAACCACCAGCCATGCACACTGCAGAGTTGCTCCTGATGCGATCTGGACGAAACAGCCAACCTATCAGCCAAGGAAACGTGGCAGCAGCACTGCAGACAGCACCAAGGGCATCATGTTACCAAATGGTGGCGTCGCGTTGCACCTCTTGCCCCTAGATGGGAACAAACACCAATTGCCAAATAGACAACACAGAAGATAGGAAGGGAAAAAAACTATGACCATCAAGCAGGTAACTGTCGCCAGAGTGGTGGAGGGAAGCTTCGTGGGCGCCTGTTTCAGCTGCATGAAAAAGCAGCAGCAGCAGCAGCAGCAGCAGCAGCCATCAGAGTAACTATGACAAAAGGCCATCACGAGCAGCAGAAACAGCTGCTTAGGCTAGGAAAGGGTCATCATGTGGCTGCTGAACGAACGCTGATATGGCACCACAAAACCAGTGTACAAATCTACAGCCGAGCCGAGGATCCTACAAAGAGTGGGCATCAGTACCGACAGAATGGCTTCCTTACCTTCAGTCCACTCACCGTCTCACATCCAGCGACATCACCTTACAGCCCCCGTGACACATTACGACGTCAAAATGAAAAAAATGGCATGGCCCTGCCTGCCACCTATTCTGTCGCCACCTGTTCTCCCTGCCACCTATTCTGCCTGCCACCTGTTCTGCCTGCCACCTGTTCTGCCTGCCACCTATTCTGCCTGCCACCTGTTCTGCCTGCCACCTACCACATGCTGAAGAAAGGATGCTGCCCCCACCTAAAAGCACAAACAAGCCCCGTGGCGATCTGCTTTCCCCGGAAGAACCTCAGATTGCATGCCACCGCCTCAAAAACATTGCAAGACCTCAGATTCTTGATTCCATCCCTCGCTTCCGAGCAACTTCTTCTACTGATTCACCTTCACTGTCCACTGTTCCCACTAACACATATTGTTCTCTAACCACCCCCCCCCTCCCCCCCCCCACCCCTATAGATACCGTAATCCTTCCTACCCGCTTCCCACATCACCTGGAAAATCGGCTGCTCTGAAATCACCGCTTGTTCTCAGCACAACAATCACTGCTGCTGAAGGGGCAGCAGCGGCGTCAACACCGTTCACTGCTGTAATACCTCGCCTCCCTTGAAATAGTGTATTCCGTCCCACCCTCCTTCCCTCCCCCCTCACCTATCACGTGATCACCGCTTGTTCTCAGGGAAGTGCTGCCTGAGTATCTGCAGCAGCGTCTTGGCCTCCGAGTTCTCAGCCTCTGTGATACCGTACTCTCATCCTCCTTCAAACAATGTCCTGAACCACCGTATCCTCACCATCCCTCCTCACCTATCACGTGATCACCGCTTGTTCTCAGCCCAGTGCTGCCTGAGGATCTGCAGCAGCGTCTTCGCCTCCGAGTTCTCAGCGCTCCTCAATACTGCATATTATCGTGCTATCCCCTCGCCACCCTTTCCCCCCACAATCTCACCTTTCACCGCTTGTTCTCAGCGCAGTGCTGCCTGAGTATCTGCAGCAGCGTCTTCGCCTCCGAGTTCTCAGCGCTCCTCAATACTGCATATTATCGTGCTATCCCCTCGCCACCCTTTCCCCCCACAATCTCACCTTTCACCGCTTGTTCTCAGCCCAGTGCTGCCTGAGGATCTGCAGCAGCGTCTTCGCCTCCGAGTTCTCAGCGCTCCTCAATACTGCATATTATCGTGCTATCCCCTCGCCACCCTTTCCCCCCACAATCTCACCTTTCACCGCTTGTTCTCAGCGCAGTGCTGCCTGAGTATCTGCAGCAGCGTCTTCGCCTCCGAGTTCTCAGCGCTCGTCTGCGACACGCGCACCAGCGACGGCAACACGCCTTCCGCCAGCAGGTCCCCGTACGTCACAAAACCCATGGCCGCCAGCTGCAGCAGCACCGACGCCGCGTCCTCCTTCACCCGCGCCGACGACCCCTCGTCCAACAGGTCCACGAACATGGTGAGCCCGTCGCACTCCACAATCGACTGACACCCCTCGGGGAACCGAGCCAGGTTGGATAGCACCGCCGTGGCTTTCTCTTCCAGGCCGGGAGGGGGAGGGTCGGAAGAGTCCCCCGAACCACACATCCCTAGGAGGACCTCGACTGCTCCAGCTTTAAGGATGTCTCGGGCGCAGCGGACTTGGGTAGAGAGGGTGAAGAGCGCCAGCGCCGCATCCTTCTTCGCACGCACCGTGCCGGTTTTGAGGAGGGAGATAAGTGCGGGGATGGCGCCTGACGCCCGCACCATGAGCTTGTGGTCATCCTCCTTAGAAAGCGCGAACAGAGTGGCAGCCGCGTTGCCTTGGGAGGCTGAAGTACCGTGGTTCAACATCCCTACCAGGGCTGGGATCCCCCCAGCTCGCACGATCTCCCCTGACGCGTTCCAGTGGAGGGAGAGATTCATGAGGGCAGCAACGGCGTGTTCTGCTGCCTCCAGGTCGTCCGATTCGATCACCTCGACCAGCGGCTCGATCCCCCCCAGCTGCACCAGCTGCGCTTTGTTTTCCGGGCAGCCCTTGATCGCTGCCCGGATGTCTCGCACCGCTGCCCGCCGGTCCACACCTGACCCGAAGTTGAGCGCCTCCACCATGGGGTTCATGTCGCGGCGGACCGGCGCACCGCCCGGGTCATCATTGCTGCCGCCCGGCATGCTCATCATGCTGCACGTGCTGCGCGCGCTGCTGTTCCGCTGCAGCCTGGGCACGCCTGTAGCGCCGCCCCCGGCTGTAGCAGCAGGCGGCTGGGACGGCTGGGGGGGCAGCTGGGGGGAGGGGTCATGGGGGGGGTACTGGCATGGCCATAGCCCATATCAACATCTTGCATAGTCGGGTTCGTAGTCGCCTTTCTAAACGCCCTGCCGGCCGAATGGGTGCTCTCCACGTCCACGTCATGCAGGTGCGGCGACGGGTTGGTCGGCGACTTTCGGAACGTTCTGCCGGCCGACATGGCTTCAATGTCCGCCTGCCACTGCGGGATGGATGACGTCAGCCGCTCTAGCCCCTGCCCCTGCCCCATACCCTGCCCTAAACCCTGCCCATGCCCTCCCCCATATCCGCCCCCGCCCCCACCGCCGCCAGCAGCAGCGGCAGCAGCGCCAGCCGCGTTTTTTAGCACGCCTTTCCGGAGCCCCTTAGGCCTCCCCCCGCTGCTGCTGCTAGGCGCCAGCCCCTGCCCCGCCCCCCTCCACGGCTCTCCCCCACTCGGCCCGCCCTGCCCGTACTCCCCGCCGCCGAACGCGGCGCCCGAGGTCCTGGGGCGCTCGTCGCCGGGGTTAGCGGCAAACTGGCGCCTGCCCCCACTGGCGCTGGCGCTGCTACCGTCGGTCGACTCCATGCCGAAGTGCCGCCGCCCACCCGTGCTGCTCCCGCTACTGTTGCTACTCACGCTCGGGACCCGTCCATGCCCCACCGACCCCGGACGCTGCGGCAGCGGGGACATGTTTCCGCCTACCCCGCCTCCTCCTCCTCCCACCAGCATTCTCCCCCCTGGCGCCAGGTGCTCCCCGCGCCCCCCGTACTCCTCGTCCCCCCTGCCCCCTCCTCCGCCTGCCGCCCTGTCCGCGTCCCGTTCCGACTTTTTCACCTTCCTGCCCGTTTCCGACTGGGACCGCATCTTCGCGCTGCTGCGGAGCGACGGCGGCGCGGCTTCCCCCTCGTCCCCCACCGACGGGGACGGCCTTAGCCCCGCGCCGCCCCCTTTCACCCCATCCGCTCCTATCTCCGATAGTAGCTTGTCCCGCTGCTTCCTCGTCATCTTCATACTCCGACCTTTCATAAGATCCGATATCTTCCCCGGACCTCCCCCTCCTCCGCCGCCGCCCGCGCGCCCTAACTTAAGAGCGGAAATCCCCGTGGAAAGCTTTCCCCCCACGTCATCGTCATCATCGTCGGCGGGGGAGCCGAACCCGTCCTCGCCTCGCGGGAAGTACGACAGGTGCCGCTGCAGACCGCCGCCGGCCTTCTTAGGCTTGCTCCCCTGCGCGGCTATACTCTCCCATACGGCTTTAATATCCGTCGGCCCGTCGCCTACCTGACCGTCTCCGCCGCCCAGCGCCGCCATTTTCTTCGATAGGTTCGACGGAAGCGGGCTCACGGACCTCGCCCGAGCCTTAGCACCGGCGTCCGAACCGCTACCGCTTCCCGAGCCTGACGCCTTCCGCCCTCTCTCCACCTTGCTCTCCTCCCCGCCGTCCGCGCTCTTCTTCTTAACCACCTTTTTCTTTCGCACGGCGCCGTCGGACAGGCGTTCGAGGTCCTGTTCGCCTGGGCCGGTCTCCGATCGAGGCGCCATTAGTGAAGGGGGAGGTGGTGTTTTCGGCCGCAACTGGCTGGTTTTCGAGGAGCTTTTTACCGTGGATTTTTTCGCCGGGGCAGTACTGGGACGGGCAGCTGAAGAATGGCCGCCCGAACCTTGCGCCATCCAATCAGAGATCATGCTTTTCAGGGCGAAGTTCGGGCAGAAGTTTGTATGGTCGATCCGCACGCCAGACTTGGGGCACGTCCGCTTACCCTCTGCGAACCACCTCTCGATTGAAGCACGCTCGTACGTCTGGCCGGATGCGATTATAACGGGGTCAGTCATGACGGTTAGCGAGAGCGGACACATAAACTCTTCGGGTATTGTCGGTCCGTTTGACTCTGCCTTCTTATGACCACTGCTGCTGCTACTACCCCCGCTCTCCTTCTCTTTCTTTTTTCTCGTCGGCTTCGCTTCCCGTTCCTTTTGCGGTCTTCGCCGCTCCTGCTCTCCTACGTGGTCATCCTCTTCCCACTGCTGCTCCTGATGGTGCTGCTGATGCCGCTGCTGCCGTTGCTGTCTATCTACAGTGTTTTCTCGCTCCCAACTAGACCCTCTGGGTTCTTCGTCCCAGCCGTTGCCGTGGTTGTCCTGGTAATCGTCATCGCGATGGTAGTGATCGGACGATTGTGACGCCCTCTCCCAACTGTTGCAGGTTGCTGGATCCATGTTACAAGGTAACAGCTACTGCTCTGGTCTGGGAACGCAGAAGATAAGGAAATTGAGGATAACACGAAAGAAAATAATATTATGTTCAAGATTGCGACTTTGTTAAATCTCCTGCGAACAGCCGTTCCCGATAGATCTGTATTGGGAAGATGCATAATTAAACTCTGTCGCGGAAGTTGCAATGGACAGAAAAAGGGGATATATGCAATTGGAAATTATCCTAAAAGAATCTGACCAGGTAACTCCCGAGTTACTTGAGACAACTAAATGCAGGATACAATACGACAAGCGGGTATTGCTCGTTAAATGCTTGACTGCCAGACAATGGCGAGATCGAGTCACTTACGAGTCTAACGTCGTTAAGGAGGATGTTAAGTCGCTGAAGCTTTTGTGAACGTCGTTAAGGAGGATCAAATAACTGCAATGGATGCATGGAGGAGCCTCGAAACAAGCGGAAACCGAGGAACTACTGGAAAACTACGAGTATGGCACCGTATATGCTTTCAACCGTCGAGCGCTGCCTGCTTAGAAGGGCCTTTACACAGATCGTTGCCCTAGACCTTGCACCTACTTCTTACACGAAATCGCCATCCACGTCAAGAAGCCCTAGGCTGCACCTAAACCACAAGCTTCGCAACGCATGAGGGTACTATCGGAACTTTTCTCCGCAACACAAACGCTTCTGGCGGAACATTCTGGACCACGAAGTACGAAAGACCTAGGAAAAAGGATGCCAGGGAGAACCTGATAAGCCTTCGCTGTGGCGTTAGGAGACGTTCTAGGGTTACAGAATTGAGGAGGAAGGTCTCAGTGCTTGCTCGTGTGCCGTGCCGAATGGTGCTGCTGATGTCATTCTGGCCCGATCTCTTAAGTTGCGGTACTGCTGGTTCGAAACTAAAAGCAGTGGTTGTGAGTGCCGGAGAGAGGTTGACGAAAATAAGCGCGATGGTTTAAAAGTCGTGTGGTAACCCGCCGATGAGGGGGATGCGATGAGTCGGATGGATGGGCGGACGAGATGAGCCGAGGCTGTCAGCTTCTGTTGCAGGTTTCGTGGTTTGGTGGGGAACCTTGGGATTGGCGGGAGAAGCGGGCAGAGGAACATGGGCAGATGGAACGCGTCGGATTTGTTGAAGTGAAAGTTTGAGACGAAGGGTGGTGAGGGAAGAGCAGATTGGTTGGTGGTTGAGAGCTGCTCGGGCAGTTCTGAGTAAGTAGGAGGGGATAGCTGGCGGGCAGATTATCGATCAAATCCTGGGAGGTTGGTGGAGGCGACAAGAGCGACCACGACAAATCGGGGATCTCCAAAGACACTGATGCCTCGGTACACAGTGATACTTCCATTCAATCTTGTGGCAAACAAATGTTATTCTGTGCACCACGTAACATACTCCACACATATCCACCAATTCTATTAACACTTCAATAGCCTCGGACATATACCCTGCACCACTCCGGCAGTCAAAATTGTGTTGCATCAATAAATATGTGGGCTGCAATCAACCCATTCAATAGTTGGCCAATGTTTGGCTAACATTGATCCGCCCAGGAGTAGCATTCTTGTTGAACTTGGACCACTTGAAGTCTTCATACTTCTTCCCCACTCCAGTAAGCCCAAGAGCACTCTCTGCGGGGGAATTGTCTGTCTCCTTCACTCCAATATCCGTTGACTTGAACCCCTTCGCCGGCCCGTCCACAGCAACCAGCTCGCCGTCATATGATAAGAACTGGATCACCGTGGCAGCGCCATTCGTCGGCTGCGATACAAGTGCCATGCCGTCGGACGGTCCGTTCTGCAAGCCGCCTTGAGCGTACATGTTGCCATACACCACAAAGCCATTGATGTTGGTCGGAGGGAGGCTGAACTTGCTGAGAGGAAGCTTGCCATAGGTCTTCCCATTGGCCCCGTTATAGAGGTAGATGGAGAGGGTTGAGGGGTCCACCCCTGGACTCACAACCACCTCGATAAACTGCGATGGGAAGGTGGGAAGGGAAGTGCAGAATGAAATGGGCATTCCTGAAGAAAAGCGAGGCAACAGTGATCCAGTCACGCATACTGGTCCCCTGATCCACTCCCCACCCTCCCAACACCCCAATCTCCTCCCTCCACACCCAGCTACCCACCTCGTTCTTGTCGGGCCCTTCGTTGCTGTAGTGGATCTCATTGAACCACGCCTTGGCCTGCCCCCCAGGCACACGCGGTGCAGCAACCCCCCCTGCCCCGCCTGCTGCCGCTCCCGAGCCTCCCCCCACTGGCGCTGCCACTGGCGGCGCTGCTCCTGGCAGGCTGAAGCCGGTCCCCGAGCCTGCACCCAAGGCTGCTCCCGAGCCTACAGCTGGTACCGAGGCTGGCACGGCGCCCCAGATGAGGGGGACGAACTCAGGGTGGTCGACGAAGGGATTGCGGTTGTGCTGGTAGAGCGAACACACCCGGTTGTTGCGCGTGGCCTCCAGGGAGGACGGCGGGTCGACAGAGTGCCACTTGAGGAGAGGGGACAGCAGACCCATTTGGCCCTCAGCTGTGATGTAACGGGTTGGATGAAAGGGGTAGAGAGGGGGAGGGGGCCGGAAGGGAGAGGAGAATGGGGAGCTTGTAACGGAAGAGAAGGGGTTGCGGCTGTCCTGGTAGAGCGACGCAGTTGTTGCGCACAGCCTCGGGGGAGGACGGCCGGTCCAGCGAGTGCCACTCGAGGAGAGGGGTCGGCAGACCCATTTGGCCCTCAGCTGTGATGCGAACGGGTTGGATGAAAGGGAGGGAGGGGTGGGCTTGGGCCGGAATGGAGATGTGAGGGGGGGTGGGGAGAGTGGTCGAGTCGAGAAACGAAGAGGAGAAAGAGGAGAAAGGAGATCTTTTCGTGGATGCGCAGGGAAGGGGATGTGAGGGGGAAAGGACAGAAGCATGTGAACTGAGCAGTTGACGAGCAAAGGGATGGAGTGGAGCAGGAGACAGCATGACATACCTAGGGGTTGTCAGTGGGTATGGCATACCGATTTTGGGGTTGTCAGAGAGCTCGAGGTCCAATTCGCCAGGCACAGAGCCGTCGTATCTGACAGCCATGTAGAGCAGCGCACGCGCTATGTCGCCCCGCATCTGAACCAGAGATGCACAAAAAGAAAGGATTGATGAGAGAATCAATGGCAGAGTCAGGCAAGCACTGCGGCTGACTCTGCGGTTTTGTGCACTCATGTGTATGACTCTGAACGCATATGGGTGTGGGGGGGGAAAGAGGAGGAGGGACAGGGAGGCAGAGTGAGCAAATGAGGGGAGGGAGAGTCGAAGGAGTTAGCAACGGAAGCAAGAGAGGAAAGCACACACCTCAGAGGGGGGAGTCCAGACGTCCTTATTGGTGGCCGTATCTGCTGCTGCCTCCCTATTGGCGGGCACGAGACAGCTGTCATCCGTGGATGAGCACTCGCCAAACCACTTGTTGCCTCGGGCAGAGTTCACTGAATGTGACAATAGGATGGGGAAATGAAATGAATCTTCTGTGACAATAGTGAAGGACGAATGTGGCCAAGGTGGTCGGTGTGACAATCCACATAATACAGCATTGACATCATCATCATCAGAGGCAGCAACAGCAGCGGCGCCAGCAGCAGCAGCAGCAGCAGCAGCAGCAGCAGCAGCAGCAGCAGCAGCAGCAGCAGCAGCAGCACCAGCAGCAGCAGCAGCAGCAGCAGCAGCAGCAGCAGCAGCAGCAGCAGCAGCAGCAGCAGCAGCAGCACCAGCAGCAGCAGCAGTCCACGGCACAAGACCTACCATTGACGTCGGCAGGTCTCAGATTGTGGAGGTCGGAGAACTCGGGTCGGCCCTGAGTGAGACCATAGGAGCGAGGCCACAGATGCTCCCCTGATAGATGGGGCGTGGGGGTTTGGGGGGTGGGGTGGGTTGTTGAGACAACGCCTTTCAGCCAACTCAATTTTAGGGATTTCCTTTTTTTTGGGGGGGGGGGGGGGGGGGGGGATGACACAGTGTTATGCTGAATTCACCCACCGATTCTAGACAGAGCGTGCCGGCGCAACAAGGGCAGCCAAGCACCACTCACTGTTCCAGCCTTCCGGCGTGGCTTGTGTGTCCTTGGGCACTGCTCTGCGCGTGTAGATCTCCACACTGGACAAGGGAACACGGGAAACAAACAGCGACACCGAGAATAAACAGTGGCACACAGAATCAACAGTGACACAGAGATCAACAGTGGCACACAGAATCAACAGTGGCACACAGAATCAACAGTGGCACACAGAATCAACAGTGGCACACAGAATCAACAGTGGCACACAGAATCAACAGTGGCACACAGAATCAACAGTGGCACACAGAATCAACAGTGGCACACAGAATCAACAGTGGCACACAGAATCAACAGTGGCACACAGAATCAACAGTGGCACACAGAATCAACAGTGGCACACAGAATCAACAGTGGCACACAGAATCAACAGTGGCACACAGAATCAACAGTGGCACACAGAATCAACAGTGGCACACAGAATCAACAGTGGCACACAGAATCAACAGTGGCACACAGAATCAACAGTGGCACACAGAATCAACAGTGGCACACAGAATCAACAGTGGCACACAGAATCAACAGTGGCACACAGAATCAACAGTGGCACACAGAATCAACAGTGGCACACAGAATCAACAGTGGCACACAGAATCAACAGTGGCACACAGAATCAACAGTGGCACACAGAATCAACAGTGGCACACAGAATCAACAGTGGCACACAGAATCAACAGTGGCACACAGAATCAACAGTGACAGATAGTAAACAGGGTGCAAGAGAGGGTACCTGCCCACAATATAGCAACTCACACGTCACGGGACTTGGCAGGATCTGACTGGTCCGCAGCATCGAGAATCTTGAGAGCATCCCATGCCTGTCAGTATTAGAACAGTGTGTGCAGGGTTGGTGTGAAGGGTTGGTATGAAGGTAAGAGTAATTGCAGAGGCGGCTGGTCTGTAGTTGGAACGAGATCTGAAAGGAAAGAGTATATGTAAGAGGTGCAGGTGCTCCTTCAGTACTACCTCCCCCAGTGATCCATTACCCCCAGTACCACCTACCTCAGTGTAGGTGTACACTTTATGACCCTTTATAATATCGTGCAGCTTCGCCTTAAGAGCCTCCCCCTTGAGCCCCTGCGTGCCTGCATAGTACTGCTCCACGTCCTCGCACGGAAACTTCGTGGCAGCTGCTTCGGCTGACCATGGTGCGAAACAAGCTGCTGCTGTCGGCGTGAGGGTGATGAGGGCTGCTAGCAGCGCGGCAGTCGCCTTGGAAACAGCTGGGGAGAAACGGAAAAGAGGGGGGGGGGGGAGGGGAGGGAGGGGAGGGAGAGGAGGTAGTGGGGGTGAGTTGCAAAGCAAACCCCTGCTATCGGCGAGAGGGTTACGAGGGCTGCTAGCAGTGCTGCTGTCGCCTTAGACGCAGTTGGAGAGAAAACGAAAAGGGGAGGATCTAGTGGCAGTGAGGAAGGAATCGACCTGTGGTCTTTTCCGTGCTAATAGTACCCATTCCAATTGACCTGGCTATACGGCAGGGCTTTAAGCTCGTCGTCGACAGCCTCCACATTTTCATTGTCTCATTCCCATAGTCGTCGGTTCCACTTCCTCGTCAACGCCATTGACGATTTCGGGTAAACGACCGCCGGCTAGTCGTTGATGACGACTCTTCGGCTAGTCGCTGATCTCCTGGTGACGGTCCACCTAAACAACCATTGCTGGTTATCCCAGCATTTCAGCCGAACCAAAAAACACTACTCGGGAAGCGCGCGGAGACACGCATCCTGGCCACAAGTTGTCATGGCCGACTGCTGGAATGTAACCAAAGGGAAGGGGGGACCCATGTTGTTCATTTATCCTTACATGCACGGACCGACCAAACTTCGATCTTGGCGTGGTTTGGCTTACCTCTCTGGCCAGTCGTCAAAGATTCCTGGAGAGCCTCCAGCCGTCCGTTGCAATGGTTCCCTCGCTCACTCTCCGTCGCGTCCGTGCGAGACGACGACGCCGATTCGAAGCCGTGGGAGCGGCAAAGAATCTGTCCCGCTGGCCTGGTCCTCCGGGAAGCCCGGGTGGTCGCACGGCCTCCACGGTCTGAGACTGGCGCTGCGGGTGAGGTGGATAGGGAGGTTCTGCTGGCTAGCGGAGAGCTTCGGTGGAGGAAATGTGTCTGGGGTCGACCTCCCTGCGGAATGGAGTGGAGGACGGAGGGTTGAGGAGTGAGTGAGAGAGAGATGAGTTGGCGAGAGGCGAAGGGGTTAGACAAAGTTACGCGAGAGTCCGGAGAATGGCGAAGGACAGCATGGAACTTACGGCTGTGAATCCGCGAGCACTCATCAGCGAGCAATCGGACGCCAGCAATGCCATTCCGAGTCAGCGAGCCTAATAATTCAGCAGAGCCGCCGCGGAAGTAGCGCGTGAATCTAGTGTCAGGGGTCAATAGCAGAGACGGAGGCTGGTGCGACTAGAAAGAATCCGGCTGAGGTCGTTGAGGTCTGATAAGAACACACCACCTGGTTTTGAGGCGTTTTAACTCTACGGATGAACCCAAGGAGAGAATGGAAAGGATTGTGGAATTCTCGAGAATGTGTCTCGAGAATGGATTATGGCTTGGCGTCGCAAAGCGGCTTGGAATCCAGACCAGCGTGGCACCATACTTCGGCTCCACCGCAAACGCTGGTTCGGCACCACACCTTCGGCTTTGCTCCGTACTCTCGCCCCTGGAGCCACCATCACCAACATTGGGTTCGGCCTCGGGAATTGTGCGCCACCACCCATGGGATTCGGCATTTCGGGTTTCGTTCAAGATGACCCTTGGCGTAAATGATTGGCTGAATGCTGTGGCCCTCTCTTCTCATTGGCCAGCTCGTCGTCTCGAGTGAATGTGGCCCTTCATCCTGGCATACGTGAAACAAGCAAGCTTCCTCTCCCAAGTCTGACGGAACTAGGCTCGTTCTGCAAGCCAGGCTGGTTTTCCTGTCAAACCTCAGCCTCGGAAAATGGTCCCTCCCCGTTTCAGAAGAGAGAGACGAATGCATCCTCCATGCCCCATGGCTGGACAGACAGGCAGGCACTGTATCAGAATCTCCTGCCATTCCTCCCCTCATTTCTCTCTGGACTTATCAGAGAGCGTCAGCGTTACGTCCCACCACAGTAGTCGCTTCCAAAATGTCAGGAGCCATTACTTCAGGGACGTACCGCCAGGTTCCGTTGGTCGCATTCGCAGGTCTCAAGGGTCGCCATGCGACTTCGGTCCCATCGGCGACTGTCCCCTGCCATCCAGCGACGAAATCGCTACTCCTTAGGTCGGAACCTCGAGCTCTTGGCTCGTTTACAGGAGCGGGCTGGGCCATTAGGTCTAGACGACGATCTCAGGAAGGAACATCGTGCGGTCGAGATTTGAGAAGCGGATTCCGAAATATCCGCTGCCTTGTAGAGGCCATCGCGGAGCAACAGAAGCCGTCCGATGTAAATCCACCACGCGCCGCCAGGTCTTGCGATTCAGCGGGAGTTTCTAGGCGACGAGCCTTCCTCACGGGCGCAGCAGCGCTGGCAGCAGTCGCTGCAGGAACTGAGCCGTGGGGGACTGGAAGCCTCACGGAATCTGGAGCCGCTCATGCAGCGGTTCTGCCTCGGGGAGTGGGCGAAGGGCCCCTATTGGCCGCTGTGAGCGACGATGATGATGACACCGTTGTCAAACTGTTTGAGGTGGGGTCTGTCTGGTCACCCTTGTTCACTCTGCATAAACTTAACCATTACTCTTTTATTCAAATTCCGTTCATGGCTGCCTCATCTCCGTATCTTACATACCAATGCATTATGCATGTGCCTTGCATTTTCTTCACGTGTCCTGCTTCCAGGATGCAACAGCTTCAGTGGTGGCGATTATGAATGTGGAGGTGAATGGCGGCAGCAGGGGGAAAGGAGGAGCGGCTGAGGAGGCTGTGGAAGGAATTGGCTCCGGATTTGTCTGGGATGAATTTGGTCACATTGTAAGATCGATAGATAGTAAGGCACTGCTGTGGGCCAGTCTTGGAGTATCATTTACGTCGTGGGTGAAGGTGGTCAGGTGTCCTCTGAGCATTCCTCCTGCATTCCACCTGCATTCCTCCTGCATTCCACCTGCATTCCTCTGTGGATTCCTCTGTCCATTCGTCTGTGCATTCCTGTTCCTCTTTGCGTTCCTCTGCGCATTCCTCTCGTATTCCACCTGCATTCCTCCACATCTCATGCGCATCTCGTGGACATCTCATGATGCTCTTCCTCCTCCATTTTGCTGACATGGCAGGTCACCAACTACCACGTGGTTGCCAAGCTGGCGACTGACACTTCTGGGCGGCAAGCTTGCAGAGTGAGAATGGAGCGAGGTTGAAGGGAGGGTAGAGCTGCGGAAAGAAGTGGGTGGTGGAAATTGCTACATTGAGAACGCTTTATTCATTGTGGAAACGTCTCACCACCAGTTCCATCACTATTCCCTCTCCCCTCCACTGGCTTCCCTGATTAACCCCCCCAACTGTCCATTGTACTACACTCCTCTGCTACCTCTCCCTCTCCAGGTGTCCCTTCTCACCCCCTCGGGCGCCATGCAAACGTACTCAGCTACTCTCGTTGGCACTGACCCGTCCAGAGACCTCGCTGTACTCAAGGTAAGCTCTGCAATATTCTTTGCCTTATTTATCGGCCACACTCAATAAAATTTCTTGACCCGCTAACATTCGTTCCCTGGCCTCAATATCAGCTCATATTCTTGCCTTCGTTCTTATTCTGCACTGTATTCTTGATGTAACCAGGTAGACCTATTGCAGCCAGTGCCAGCTGCACCGGATACAACAGCAGCAGATGGTGCCGTAGAGTTAGCAGCAGCGCCACCAGCACCACCCCTGTACCCCATCCCTATAGGTTCATCGTCTGACCTGAGGGTGGGTCAAAGCTGCTTCGCCATCGGGAATCCCTATGGCCTGCAGCACACGCTCACAGCTGGGGTAGGTGATACTGGTTTATGTGCCATAAGGGTAGGGGATACTGATGGGTTGGCTGCAGCACGCCCTCACTGCTGGAGTAGGGGGCTCTTGGGGGAGGTCGTTGGTGAGGTGATACTGGGATTCCTGGATACTCAACAGAGTTCTCTAAGAGCCGCTTCTTTTCTAACTGCAGGTGATCAGTGGGCTAGGGAGGGAGATTCCAGCACCAACAGGGGCTGCAATCAGGGGAGCGATTCAGACTGACGCTGCCATCAATTCAGGTGAGAGGGTTGAGTTGCATTTCAAGGAGTGTAGGTGCCACCGCCAGGAGCAACAGGAGGTTTCGGGGGGAGGAGGGGGGGCTCATTGAAGGCCAATGCAGTTATCAGCTTGGATTTACTTTGCTGTTTCCGACTCTTTGCTTAGGCTAGGCTCTATCCTTCTGACTATCTATGCTTTTGTTTTGTTCAGGTAACTCGGGTGGCCCTCTGCTTGACTCCTTTGGACGAATCATTGGAGTCAACACAGCAACTTTCACTCGATCAGGTGAGTCATCAAGTCACGAGAGTGAGTGGCCCCGATTTCTCCTCAGATCCACTAGACTGAGTGGTTGGGGTCTCATGGTAACCTGCTCTGTATATCCCGTTCACCCCCTTCCATACCTGGCAGGGTCTGGCTCTTCATCTGGAGTCAACTTCGCCATCCCAGTTGACACTGTGAGGAGAGTGGTGCCTAGACTCATTGTCTACGGTTCTCCTCGACCACCTGCTGCATAGGCATTACATGCTGCATTGCTAATGCCGCAATGATTGCGGTTTCAATTAATTATTTAAGGTCTCACTGTTAGGGCTTACCGTTAATATGGGACAAATGCCCTTACGCGTTAAGTGATGTTTCTTCTTTGACAACTTGGATGCTTGTATTATTCACAAACTTATGTGGTTTACTTATGTGGGGTGTACACTGAGCTATTTCACACAAATTTGCCCATATGAATGACCAACGTGGCGTGCCTAGAGACTACCAGCCCAACCATTTTCCACGTCACCCCATCCTCACCCTCAATCCGTCACCCTCGCTAGCCTTCGCGAACAGCTAGTCACTTCTAGGTTTCGCCAACCGCAGGATTTGGGGGTCATGCTCTTTGCTGCGAGTAACCCCGCATGGTCATAAGCCTTGTCGCGAACCCGCAAAGGGAACATCAGCTTGTCGCTGTGTTACAGGCCCAAAAGAAGCAGTAGTAGTGCTGCGTGCCCGCCTCCTTTTCCCTAGACCATCCTTTCTCGCCTTGCCTCGTCAGCTCAGCCATCACCACCACACGTATATCCCTAGGTACGCAACCAGATTTACCTTCCTCTAGCGAGGACCCTTGGTTGTTAATATTTCGCCATGGCTGCGTTTGCGAACTCCCTCGCGCTCTCCGCCGCCTCCGCGGCTCCCCGCGCCGCCGTCCGCTGCTCCGCCGCGGATTCCGCTCCGTCCAGCCAGGCTGCTCCGGCTCAAGTTCGCGTCGCGTCGTCGGGCCTCCCGTCCTTCGCGAGGGTGTCGTCGGAGAACGCTGCGACGGCGATTGACCCGTCTGCGACGTTCGCGAATGTGATGTGGTCGCGCTCGTACAACACGCAGATCCTGGTGGGCGAGAGCGAGAGCACGGAGTCGGTCGTGCGACGGTTCAAGAAGGTGTGCATGGAGGCGAACATCGTTAACGAGTGTCGCCGGCGACGCTTCTTCGAGACGCAGCAGGATATTGTGAAGCGCAAGCAGAAGGACGCCGCCAGGCAACGCAAGCGCTTCTCGTAAGTCCCATGGTCGGCGAATAATTTAGTTAATGTTTTTTTTTTCTTTTTTCCCCTGGCGAGTGATGCTTGTAAATTATATTGTGGGGATTCGCCGTGCCAGCGAGAAACTCTTTGGTCGAGATGAAGGTACTTGCGGAGAGGTACCCGTGGCAGGTCTACGTTTAACTTGAGTTCCTAAGACATTGTAAGTAGTTCCTTAACATAGCATTATCATAGCTCTGGGCGGTACAGGAAAACCCTAATCTCTCCATGCGCTTCGCGGGCTAGTGCAATTTGCACTTGTTCATTCCGATTTAGGGTTTATTCTGTCATTTGCGGAACGCGTTACCGGCCCGCGTCCGACTAGACTGAGGGTTTTCCGTTCTTCTATCGAAGCCTTTGTTGCAGCGGCAAGTCACTCTTGGCTGGTGGCTGGGCAGGGGCCGCAGGGCTGAAAAGGTGGGGGGAATGCGGCTCATACGGCTTGCCGCGCATAATGCAGCCAGGTTTCGGACACGTGGAAGGCAAAGGGAGAAGGAGGAGTCAGCGATGAGATGGCGTTGATAGTAAAAACGTGTGCGAGTCGGAAGGCCGAACGGAATAGGATAAACCGGCTAGGACGGCAGTCGGAATGCGGTGGGCTGTAGCGGCGGCTGCGGAGCCAGCAGCGGCAGCATCTGCGAGCAGCGGCGGCGGCGGCGGCGGCGGCAGTGGCGGTGGCGCCAGCAGCATAGGGCGGACGGCTTGTCGACAAGACGGCGCAGGAGCGAATTTAGCAGTTCGCCTCATTGCGAAGACGTGTAGTGATTGTCAGCTGCAGGCCGCCATTGCGCGTGTTGCAGCCATTCGTCCTCCGGCACTCCCTCCTCCTCGTCGCCGTCGTCGGCGTTCGTCGTCTTCCCCCTTCCTCCCCGTCGTTACTGTTGCATCGTCGTCTGCCTGCCCTCACCAAGACCCGCCTGAGTCGGAGTCTATTCTTGAGGCGCCTAAAAAATAGACGTCTGCCTGCCCTCACTAAGACCCGCCTGAGAAGGAGGAGGAAGGCCGCGCGCCATCGCTCAACCATCCCCTTTTGCGCTCTCCCCCCCACCCCCCTCCCCCCACCCCCCTCCCCCACCCCCTCCCCCCTCCCCCTTCTCCTTCACCCTCCACCTACACCTCGCGTCCTCCTCCTCCTCCCCCCCCCCCCCCCCGTGTTCCTTCCCTTGTCATCCCGCCCTCACGCCCGGTGCCTCCACTCGCGCTCTCAGTCTTACCTTACCTCTCCGCCCTTCCACGGGCCATGGCACATCGCGCCCTTCCACAGGCCATGGCACATGGCACCCTTCCAGCCCCCCATACTCTTTCAGCTCTTACCTTCCATCTACACCCACCTGCTCAAAGCCCTCTTTCTTGCTTCTACTCATGAACTCTTCACCTGATTTCCTCATCCCTCTCATCAAACATCGCACCCTCCCATCACGCCTGGGGATACACTTCCCCCTGCCGTGCATCCTCTAATCTGCACCCATTCTTCACCTGTGGTCCTGCTCCCCCCTCCCCCCCCCCCCACACCCCTTGCATCCACATTGCTTCTTGCCTTTCCCGCCCTTCCCTTTATCCAACCCTTTCGTCTCACCATTCTCCCCTCCCTCCCCCCACGATTGCTTCAGACGGCCCTCTCTAGTTCTTCAGCCGTGATCCAACAGCTGCCAGCAAGGCAGCAGCGTTGGCTGGGGGGGGGGACGGATCCACCTATATTAAAGCGGCATGTTACTTGTTCTTCTCACTGCTCTTCCCCCCTCAGGCGGTCATCCAACGGCCCGCGGCCGTTCTTCACGCGTGATCCTGCGGCTGCCAGCAAGGCAGCAGCCACTGCCAACGATGATGATGACGATTTCTGGGATGCCAAGGTGGAGCTGTAGAGGGGGTCTTTCCGAGCTGTGATATTGGTTATCACTGTAGCTGCGGTACATGTGAAACATGTGAACACTATTCATATGTCAATTTACCACATGATGACAATTTTCGGGATGCCAAGGTGGAACTGTAGACAGCCTTCCTAGAGCCGCAATGTCACTTGTTGCTGTACCTGCTACAAGTGCTGATAGGCAAGTTTTTATACACTAGTGAAACAATTCTTAAGATGTACTGCAGTTATGTGTTGCATGTCTACAGTGGCCGTCAGGAGATGGAAAAGGGATGCTAAAAGGTGTCACATTCCTAAAAGGTGAAGGACCAGCAACAGCAGCCTACATTCCACTGCACTCGACTAAGAGCATGTCATCAAGTCATCATGTCACAGCGACAGGTCACCAGCACTATGAGCTGCATCCTTCTTGAATGCTTCTACAGTGTTCCTGTGAGATGTCAGCACCACAACAACATGGTGGCTTCTGAGGCGGCTCAAAGGCCACCCGCCTATGCCTTGTGGAATGCTTCCAGAATGTTCCTACGAGCCGAGAACTTCTCCACCTTGTCGGGCTTGAGGGACTGCCAGCCAGAGCAAGAGCAAAAGGAAGAGCATGAGGAAGAGCATGCTCCCTGCTCACATACTTGCAGACAGCATGGCAGATCATCGCACTCATGAGTCACAACAACCCACAGCAGCCCTGACCTGCGTGCTCGACACTCACCCCTGCCAGCAGCTTGGTGAGGCGCGCATGCTCCTTGCTCACCCACTCCTCCCCCTCATCCACTATGCTCTTCATTGCCTTCTGGTAGAACACGCCGTGGCTGTTGGGAAAGAGAAAGGCCGGGGAAGAGAAAGGCTGTTCAGGAAGCCAAGAGAACGATGGAATGAGACATAACGTGCGTCCACATACTCCTCCCCCTCCTCCACTATGCTCCATTGCCTTCTGGTAGAACACGCCGTGGCTGTTAGCGAGCAAGGGAACAAGAGAGGGAGAGACTAAGAGATCTCAGATGCCATCCCCCCCCTCCTCTCCTCCTCCACACGGCTCTTCATTACCCCCTGCTAGAAAAGAACACGCCCTGTTAGCGAGCACGGGAAGGGGCGACGGGCGAGTCAGGGAGCAAGGGAATGAGATTGGGAAACACTAGGAGTTATCAGATGCAATCCCCCTCTCTTCATCTCTTCATCACCTTCTGACAAAACACGCCGACGCTGTGCCTGGTGTGAGCAAAGGGGGGCAAGTTAGGGAGCCACGGAATTGAAGTGTTCTCAGATGCAACCCCCCTCCTCCACTAGGCTCTTCATCACCTTCTGATTAAACACGACGACGCTGTGCCTGGTGGGACGCATGGGTGGGGAGCACCGGGGGGGGGGAGGGGAAAGAAACAGGTTGAGGAAAAGAGAGCCTCGAAAGTGGCCCGATCTAAGCTCTTCATTGCCTTCTGGAGGACAATGAGCAAAGAAGAAAAGACTCCCGATGGACTCAACTATCCCCTTACATCCCACTCAACCAGCTCTCATCCACCCAACCAGCTCCCAGCTCACTCCCCCCACCCCCCTCTTCCCCACTCTCCAAGTCACCCCTCCCTCTCACTCATCCCTCTCACTCATCCCTCTCACTCATCCCTCTCACTCATCCCCTCCCCACTCACCCCTCCAGCTCAGGCGCCACCACCAACCCCATGGCCCGAACCATCATCTCCTGGCGCTCCGCCTCCGATGCTTCCAGGAAGCTTTCAGCTATGGCGTCCAGCTCCGGAATGCGCCCCACCTGGAGGAGGGGAAATGGGGAGGGGGGGGAGTTGGGGGGGAGGGGGGAAGGGGGGAAGGGGGGAAGGGGGAAGGGGGGAAGGGGGGAAGGGGGGGAGGGGGACAGGGGGAAAGGGGTGAGGGGGGAAAGAGGGGAGGGGAAGGAAGAGCAGATGAAGATGGGAGAGACAAAGGTGGGTGCTACCTTTCGGGGAGTGAGCACGCCGAGTCTAAAATCAACTACCTTATCAAGGGGAACGCCAGAGGGGAGAGAGCGCGCGGTACCTTATCGAGGGGAACGCCAGAGGGGAGTGAGCGCGCGGTACCTTATCGAGGGGAACGCCAGAGGGGAGTGAGCGCGCGGTACCTTATCGAGGGGAATGCCAGAGGGGAGAGAGCGCGCGGTACCTTATCGAGGGGAACGCCAGAGGGGAGAGAGCGTGCGGTACCTTATCGAGGGGAATGCCAGAGGGGAGTGAGCCCGCGGTACCTTATCGAGGGGAACGCCAGAGGGGAGAGAGCGCGCGGTACCTTATCGAGGGGAACGCCAGAGGGGAGAGAGCGCGCGGTACCTTATCGAGGGGAACGCCAGAGGGGAGTGAGCGCGCGGTACCTTATCGAGGGGAACGCCAGAGGGGAGAGAGCGCGCGGTACCTTATCGAGGGGAACGCCAGAGGGGAGTGAGCGCGCGGTACCTTATCGAGGGGAACGCCAGAGGGGAGTGAGCCCGCGGTACCTTATCGAGGGGAACGCCAGAGGGGAGTGTGCGCGCGGTACCTTATCGGGGGGAACGCCAGAGGGGAGTGAGCGCGCGGTACCTTATCGGGGGGAACGCCAGAGGGGAGTGAGCGCGCGGTACCTAATCGAGGGGAATGCCAGAGGGGAGTGTGCGCGCCGAGTCTATTTTTGAGGCGCCTCAAAAATAGACTACCTTATCGAGGGGAACGCCAGAGGACGACTCGCGAGCGCCGGTGTGTTTGTTGACGAAGCTGACGAGGTCGGAGAGCGACGGCAGGGGGTCGCCCTTGAGGTCCTCGCCGTACTTGTTCTCCTTGGTGAAGAACTTGAAGTAGGGGAAGGTCTCGATTTTAAACCTGGGGTGCGTGACGGAAGGGTAGGGGGGGGGGAGGGGAGGAAGGGGTGGCAGGAGGGGCGCGTCGACAGCAGGATGGTATACTCGTTATAAGTCGGATGTGCTTGCAGTTAGTTAGCATACAAGCACTGGATGGCGCTAGACATACTCATTATCAGTCTGCCTCACGTGCCCTCCAACATGTGCTCATTTGGCTGACAGCACATGCACACACAAAGGGAGTCTGAAACATAGAAAGCACGTTAGGAGTGTACTTCTGAGGCGCCTAAAGAATAGACTCCGCATGTGCGCATGTGCTCACGTGCTCAGGTGCTCATGTGCTCACTTCTCATGTGGGTGACAACACATACACACGCCACATCAGATCAGCATAGAAAGCACTCACCTGCCCGCCAGCATGTGCTCACCTGCCTGCCAGCAAGTGCTCGTTGTCGCCATCCACCTTGGCGAAGAGAATGTGGTTGCAGTCAGCATACATGTACTGAATAGCCCGTGTGTAATGAGTCGATTTTTGAGTACATACATGCACTGAATAGCATCAACTCCATCGAGCCTCACCTGCCCAGCAGCATGCACACACAACGACACCTCGCCAGCATTCAAACAGACCTCACCTGCTCGCCAGCATGTGCTCGTTGTCGCCATCCACCTTGGCGAAGAGAATGTCGTCGTGGCCCTTGAACACTGCTGCCAGCTTCTCAACCGTCTGGGGGAATGGGGGAGGAAGGGAGACCAATGAAACAAAGGGTGTGCAAGATAGTGCGGTGTAGAGCATGCAGCTAAGGGGCAGTTGGGGTGAAAATTATCTCTAAAAAGCCAACTGATCACCTATGGTGCACTGTGAGGCATGCCGCATACAGTCTAGGGCGTGCAGGGGGGAACAGGCTAGGGAGTACCTTCGTCATTTCCTTGCACGGCTTGCACCTGGGAGGAACAGGGTTGGAGGAGGGAGACGGGAGACGGCACTCAGGGGAGAATAACCGGCTGTACTGCGAGTGCTTAAAACGAGGCCGAGAAAAGGTTGAAGAAAGGGGAATGGGCGGGCCAGAGTGGAGGTAAGTGAAAAGGGAGAAAAGCCAAGGGGGAAGAGGAGGGGCGGGGGGAGGATGGGGAGGGGAGAGGGGGGGTGTGGCAGTGTTGGCAGAACTGGCATGCTTGGTGCCATAACGGGGTGTGTGCCATCATAGAAAGAAATACACAGAGACGTGAATGGCGTGCTTGGCGTGCTTGGTCTACAGCAGCAGCATAGTGCTTGGTGGTGGTATCCGGCATGATAAACCCCTTTTGTCCCCTTATAACCCCTTATAGCCCCTTATGACCACTTATAGCCCCTTATGACCCCTTAAACCCCTTATAAACCCCTTACTCACATGCCATCGTAGAAGTACACAAAGACGTGCTTGGTGGCATCCAGCATGATTAACCCCTTATAACCGCTTACAACTCCTTTTGACCCCTTGTAATTGTAACCTCTTACTACAACCCCTTAAAACCCCAGACTCACGCACCATCAAAGAAGCAGACGAAGACGTGCTTGGTGGCATCCAGCATGACTAACCACTTATAACCCCTTACAACCCCTTACAACCCCCCTTACTCACGCGCCGTCATAGAAGTAAACCAAGACGTGCTTGGTGGCATCCAGCATCACCGACGGGAAGGCCCATGCCGTCATCACCCTCACTCGCGACTCAGGCTCGTCCGACTCCACCTTGGCACGCGTGCCTGCGGAGGGGAGGGAGAGGGGTAGAGGTATGGGGAGGGGAGTGGCATGGCAAGGCATGCCGTCATCACCCTCACTCGCGAGACAGGCTCGTCACATGCCGCCTTGGCACTCGTGCCTGCACAGAGGAGGGGGGAGAGGGCGGAGTGGGTGGGGGGGGGGATGAGGCAAACGAGGGGGCTCGTGGCTCGTCGTGAGCCCACACCACAGATGGGGAATGGGTCAAGCAGCCTCACAGCTGAGTGATAGGAGTCTGGTTTTGAGGCGCCTCAAAACAGCACAGATGGGGAGTGGGTCGGGTCAAGCAGCCTCACAGCTGACTTTGATGCCCTTTTCTGAACCCCACATCGCGTCCCTCAGCCTTCACCTAGTCTGCCGCCCACTCACTCACCTAGTCTGCCGCCCACTCACCGATTCGGCCGTTGATGAAATCCACAAACGCTTCAGCCTTCCTTCCTCCCGCATAGCTGACATGACGTGGCATGGGGTGACGTGGCGCAATGTGGAAGGGCACGCAAGGGGATGGGAGGATGAATGGGTGAGTAAGAGAGAGTGAAGAATAGAGAGTTTGAGCCAAGCCTGTCAACACACACACAAGCACACAAGTGTGTGATATGTTTAGGGGGTGTTAAAATTGGCGTCGGACGTCAAAACAAGCTAATCTGACGTCCGAGACCCCCGAAACCTCCCGAAGTTGGTTCGACGTCATTTTGGTGCGAACTTGCACTTTTAACAATGACAATACTGACCAGACTGCCCCGAGACAAAACTTTTGGCCGACACAATATTTGAAACTTCGATGCGAACTCACACAGTACTGATTGACGAATTGTCAGGAAATGTAAAAATGATCGTGCAGCATAACAAATGCCAAAACTTCCCGCGCGAGGGAGTTGTGGCAAATAGTGACCAGTGGGTTACTCGCTCATGCACTCTTTCTTGGGCTACGAGGTGCATTTGAGTCAACTCAAAATGCACTTGGGCTACCCGTTTCCTCGAAGAAAGAATTCCTTCCGAAACCAAGCTCCCGAAGTCCACTTCGGGAGCACCCACTTTTAAAAATGACATTAGAGGTACAGTACTTCGCGCGGTAGGGTAACCCGTTTTTGCCAACGCTGACATGTCCGAAGCTTAACCGTGCGCTACTTTTAACACCCCCTTAACCTATCAAGAGTGTGATATGTTGAACCTATCAAGTGTGTGTTATGTTTAACCTATCATGTTTGAGAATTCTCAAAAACCTATCAGAGAGTTTGAAGCAGCCTGTCAACACGCACAAGCACACAAACCACCCCTGCTCGCACCACATCACTCACTCTTTCAACTCATCCTTCCCCACACAACTTGTGTTTCGCCACACACACACTCACATTCTCTCACACACACTCACATTCTCTCACACACACACTCACATTCTCTCACACACACTCACATTCTCTCACACACGCACTCACATTCTCTCACACACACACTCACTCTCTCACGCACACTCACACTCTCTCTCTCCATCTGTCCCGCACCAAACCACATGGTGGGGGATCCGCGCACACACACTCATACACACTCATACACACTCGCACACACTCACTCTTCCGACGTTGTCTGGCCGGCGCCGAACCACTTGATGGCGGGGTAGCCGTGCACCTCGTGGTTGCCGCACAGCGCGGAGTGCGCCTGGCAGTCCACCTGCGCGGGTAGACAGGGGGAAGGGGAAGAAGAGGGGGAGGCGGGGGGGAAGGGAGGGGTTGGAGGGCCTTCAAAAAGCTCACAGGGCGGAGTGCGCCTGGCATTCCACCTGCGGAGGGGGGAGGGTGGTAAATGGGGAGAGAGGGGAGGGGTCTAGGCGCAATCGCACAGAGCGGAGTGCGCCTGGCAGTCCACTGCGCTGGGGAGGGGTTTACAGCGCGGATTACAAGAGGTAGGTGTGAGATGGGGTGCAATGTGGCACCAGACTGCTCACCCAGGCTGCTCACTCAGGCTCCCAAGCTCGCCTGCTCTGCTGCCTTCTGCCCACAGGCAGTCCTTGCTGGCTTATTCTGTGGCCCACGGTAGTCAATTGAACTTGTCTGCTCTGACGGCGGCAGAGAAGGGTGGGCTTTGCTGTCGCGGCTGCTCGCCTGCTGCGAAGTCAAGTTCTGCTCAGCTGCGCAGGGCTGGTAAATGGAGCTCGTCTGCTCTGCAGCCACTGGCGAAGCCGGGCAGTGAGTGGGTCAAGCCGAATTGGGTGGCGCACCTGGCCGATGCGGATCGCCGCGTCGGAGTCCGCGGACGCCGTCTGCGGACTCCACCTCCGTGTCGAAGGCGATCTTCCCTCACCTTCCGGCGCTCACCTTCCCCCACTCCGGCAGGCAGTGCGTGTGGCATTCGCAACGCGCTTGCCACCTCCCCCCCCCCCCCCCCGCCCTACCTTGATCAATTCCCTCAACTACTCACCTCCGCAATGCGGATGGCGTCCGAGTCTTTGAACGCCGTCGCCACCTTCTCCCACTCCGGCGCCAGGCGCTGGCAGTGCCCGCACCTGCGATGCCATGCGAAGGGACGCGCGAATTGCGAAACAGGGTTGCGAGATGTGAAATGCGAACCAGCAAGGATGTAACCAGCGTAACGCAGACAACATTGTGCGCCGTTACTAGCAGATGCGATGCGACGCAACAAAGAAAACCCCGAAGCAAACTACTACGGTTTCGACCAAACTACAGTAAGTGACTAATTCCCTGGCCGCGACCCGCCATAACAGGAGAAAGATCAAGATATTCCTAAAACCGGCAGCGAGTCGCCAGAAATCGGGAACGACCGGGGTAGGTGATTTCAGAAAATCGGAAATCGTAGGTGATTTTTGAGTCGACTCAGGTGATTTTTGAGTCGACTCAGGTGATTTTTGAGTCGACTCAGGTGATTTTTAGTCGACTCAGGTGATTTT